GATGCTGTCAGGCATACTCAGATGCTAGGAGGAAACTGGATCAGGTGTGGGTCCTCTTGCTTCTGGGGTTTGATTGTGCCTGATGACAGGAACGTGGCCCAGAGCTGTCTCCTCCCTGTTGTGATTTATAATATTGATGTGATAAGTAATGTTCTTATTTGGTTCCAGCCAAATGATTGCTAGTATCTAACAGTAGAATAAAAATATTTTCAGATATACAATAAATAAAAATTTACGTATTCTGTCTCAGAAAACTATTGCTCCATCAAAAGAAAGGAATGAACCACGAAGCAGAAAAAACACGGGTTTAAAACAAAGGACATTGACAAAGGGCTGTCTTAGGAGAAACAGGGATGCTGCATGCTAAAGAAAAGTGGGTTCAGAAAGGAATAGAGTCAGAAATGGGAGTCATCAAGAGCTGTGGACGCAACACATTGGAATTATGAAAGAGACAGTAGAGCAAGTGCAGCCCAGCAGACAGTCTCCGAATGCAAGAATGTTTAGAAAAGAAAGGTGGGTAACGTAAATACTAATATAACTTACATCATAGTATATTTAGAAACCAAAATGGAGTATCTATCTGTTTTGTCACTGGGATAGATGGTCTTAGAAGAACAGCAGTATTTTTTGTGAGTAGCAAAACTTGAAGGCTCCCTGAGTATTCAGAATTGGTTTTTTACATCTCTCCTCCTTTAAAAGAAAACCAGGAGAGGAGCTGATTCTGAGTTCAGGTACTTGGAAAATTCAAAATGAGGAAGATATTGTTGCCAGAAAGCAAGAATGTTTGAGATAGGGAAAAAAGAAAGTAACCAACTTAGAGAGATTCTCAGTAGAAAAGCTGTGACAATTTGAGCATTGGCTTGGGAAGGGATAGCATTAGGAGAAATATCTAACGTAGATGATGGGCTGATGGATGCCGCAAACCACCATGGCACGTGTATACCTATGTAACAAACCTGCACGTTCTGCACATGTACTGCAGAATTTAAACTATAATTTTTAAAAAAGAACAAAACAAACATCTGTTAACTGAAATACATTGTTACTACAAAGCCAACTGTCTGTTAAACTCAGAAGAAGCAAATAAGATGAGTTTAAAAGGAAGCAGGAAATAATTTCAATTATTATTTACAGGAAATGCTGTGTGATGGTCCATCTGTGGCTGCTGTGTAGAGATTGTGACTATAAGCTCACAGGTTGACAAGCACAGTGGTTACACAAACCAACCTGAAGGCTTGGCTTAAACAATAAACCAAAAGACACAGAGCCAGCATCTCTGATACAACTCTGATATGCAACCTAGATAGAGGAAAACCTCAAATAAGACCGCATTTCAAGAAAAGGCATTAGGCTACAAAAAAAAAAAAAAAAAAAAAAAAAAAAAAATAGAATTTTTGTTTGTTTTTTTTTGTTTGTTTTTTGTTTTTTGTTTTTTTTATTGCATTTTAGGTTTTGGAGTACATGTGATGAACATGCAAGATTGTTGCATAGGTACACACATGGCAGTGTGCTTTGCTGCCTTCTGTCCCCTCACCTGTATCTGTCATTTCTCCCCATGCTATCTCTTCCCATCTCCCCACCCCCCCGCCCCTCCCCCATTTCCCCCCAACGGACCCCAGTGTGTTGTGCTCCCCTCCCTGTGTCCATGTGTTCTCATTATTCAACACCCGCCTATGAGTGAGAATATACGGTGTTTGATTTTCTGCTCTTGTGTCAGTTTGCTGAGAATGATGGTTTCCAGGTTCATCCATGTCCCTACAAAGGACGTGAACTCATCGTTTTTGATGGCTGCGTAATATTCCATGGTGTATATGTACCACATTTTCCCTATCCAGTCTATCATCCTTGGGCATTTGGGTTGGTTCCAGGTCTTTGCTATTGTAAACAGTGCTGCAATAAACATTCGTGTGCACGTGTCCTTGTAGTAGAATGATTTATAATCCTTTGGATATATACCCAGTAATGGGATTGCTGGGTCAAATGGGATTTTAATGGTAGCCTGAGGGCTTGCAAAAATCGCAATGAGGGGACAAACCGCAAGGCTCTTCTTATATTTGTTTGGCTTTAAAAATACTGTTTGAGCCGGGCGCGGTGGCTCAAGCCTGTAATACCAGCACTTTGGGAGGCGGAGGCGGGTGGATCACAAGGTCAAGAGATCGAGACCATCTTGGTCAACAAGGTGAAACCCCGTCTCTACTAAAAATCCAAAAAATTAGTTGGGCATGGTGGCGCGTGCCTGTAATCCCAGCTACTCAGGAGGCTGAGGCAGGAGAATTGCCTGAACCCAGGAGGCGGAGGTTTCGATGAGCCGAGATCGTGCCATTGCACTCCAGCCTGGGTAACAAGAGCGACACTCTGTCTCAAAAAAAAAAAAAAATATATTGTTTGACTATAAAAATAAAGAGCAGCATGCCTGGAAAAGTAGCCGGACAGCTCAATCAGATCCCATGTCCCAGTCATCAGTCTGACTGCCCATCCTTTTATTTTGTGAAAAGAAAGCGGTTTGTTATTAATTTAACCCCAGAAAATTATTAAAGTAAACATTAGTATCAACTCAGGAAATACAGAAAAGTACAGTAAATATAAAGTGAATAAAATCCATGGTATTAATAGTGTTATGCAAGAAATGTTTTATAATCACAGGTGTACTGTTTTGGGTATTTTGAAAACATATTTGAAGGTCTCAGGATATTCTAATTTACTAGGTTTATAAATGTGTATTTAGGCTGGGTGTAGTGGCTCACACCTGTAATCGCAGCACTCCGGGAGGATGAGGCAGGGGAATCACCTGAGAGGTCAGGAGTTTGAGAGCAGCCTGGCCAACATGGTGAAATGCCGTTTCTACTAAAAATACAAAATTAGCCGGGCGTGGTGGCATGCACCTGTAATCACAGCTACTCAAGAGGCTGAGACAGGAGAATCACTTGAACTTAGGAGGAGGAAGTTGCAGTGAGCCAAGATCATGCCATTGCATTCCAGCCTGGGCAACAAGAGAGAAACTCCATCTCAAAACAAACAAACAAACAAACAAACAAAAAACCGTATTTAATCAATTTATGGTAGTTCATTTGTGTATATTAATGGTATGTTTGTTAACTTTGTTAGTTTGTTCTTAAATATGTTTAAAACTTTAAAATATCTTATATATTAGACTTTGTAATCAATGCTTAAATGTTCAAAAGCATTTTATTTGCTGTATCAGTAGTGTGCTTTAAAGTTTAAAGAAAAAGTTTATGTTTATCAAGTTGACAAACAATAAGTCGGCCGTTAACTAAAGTATAACAGTAGGGAAAGTTGTTCTCTGCTTATGAAAATTCTGCATTGGAAATGAAAATTTTACAGATTAAAGAAACCTGCACTCACCAGCAGGGTGAGAAACTGTGGAAGGTTAGCAATGGGACTGACAGATTATTTATATGTGGTTGAGCATATAAAGAAATTACTGAAAAGGTTTGACTGATTGGTGGAACACTTGGGGGGAATTTGCTATATATACAATGAAAGCCAAAGAAGGTGGGGTGGAAGCAATATTAACATAAGGAAAAACAGAGTTATGTGAGAACAGGAATAGGTTCCTTGTTCACTACTTGGCTTAGCTATGAATACTATTTAAATGCAATAAAGGAAACACTTGGATAGAGGAGGTGAAGAATAGTGACTGAAGTTAGTGATGTAATTCTCTAAATTAGGAAGGCAATAGATAATGTCTAAAATTGTTGGGTCAAAAACAGTAGTATACACGTATTATACCTACACATAGAGGTAAATGCCTGGAGAAAGAGCAAGCTGACTTGTGATTGATTGCTTCCAGGAAGTTGGGAGAAATGGGAAGGTGCCTGGGTTGATTTGTACAATGTCTCTCCTAGAATTATTTGACTTTACAGCTAAGTGCCAGTTCATTAGCAAAACTGACTATAGGACATAAAAAGAATATACACGTATTGTAAAAAATGCAAAGAAACAGAAGGACATAACTAATGTCAAAATTACCAATTGCCCGGAAATATTTGATGTTCAGTGTTTCCTTCCAGTCTGTTTATTTGTGAATTATACGTATGTGGAACTATATTTCTAATTTACACTTAATATTAACCTTCATTTATATTTAATCACAGATGTGACAGAATCTAACTGGTTCTTTGTGGTAGGCCATTTAAAGGTTATCTCTGTAGCATATGAAGTGCTTCAATTGTCATCTTTCTGCATAACATTTTGTATCAGTACATGTGAGTTTTACTTTCAGTGAAATTCTTTGGAATGATTTTTTTTATTCTGAATGTAGAAATATTTTCTTGGCATTTTCTTTTTTCTACCCTTCCTCCTTCCATCCCTTCCTTCCTTTTAAAGACATAATTCTAAATGACACTCTGGACATCTTGGTGTCCTAATTTACATAATCAGTTGTAGAGTACAGGAAGGAATACCTATGTTGCTAGTACTGGAAGTGAATAGTTGTTATACTTACTAATTTCATGTTTTAAAAAGATAGCTTTAACTTGCTGTCTGCTTTTTCTTCTTCTCTTTTTTATGAAGACCTTGACCCATGGTGACTAAGAGGTTAAGAGGAACCCTAGAGCTACAGGTTCCTCAACAACCACAGACCTGGTTGCTAATCCTGCTTTGCTGTTTGTAGCTGGGTGTCCTTAGAGGCAAGATATTGACACAGTGAAGACTCCGTTTATTTGCTTGTAAAATGCAAATATTCACTGCACCTACCACATCAGGCTGTATGGATTAAATGAACTCTTTCAACAAAAGCCCCAGTTTAGCTTTTGTGTGTGTACCTATTTGTTCACCAAGGAAAAGCATCCACTATAACTATTAATAAATAAAGTGAAAATGCAACACATAAGAAGCCCATATTGATGTAATATTGTTTTTAAATCTATTGTTTTAGGTTCACTGTCATGGATGCTCTATCAGAAGCAAATGGGACCTTTGCATTAAACCTTTTGAAAAAGCTAGGGGAAAACAACTCGAACAACATATTTTTTTCACCCATGGGCATATCATCAGCCTTGGCCATGGTCTTCATGGGGGCAAAGGGAAACACCGCAGCTCAGATGTCTCAGGTACCTAAAGCCACTTCAAGACAACAATAACTGCTATTAATTTATCAGTGGTACTGGTCTTTCATGTTTCAAATCTCAAAGAGATTCCTCTTTTAACAGTTAACTCTGCCAGTATCACAGGGATGTGGGTGGAGAGTCAGTAGGATGGAGTGTGTTACCACTGCCTGACCATTTTTGGTGATCTGAGGTCATTCCTGTGGGTATTTCCACAGGGAGCTGGGCTAGAGGGTCCAAGGAGGTCTCACTTACATGTCTAGGCCTTGGTGCTGCCTGGTAGCTGGGGTCTAAGTACCCTACAAGCAAGTCTTTTCATTCCTCCAGGGCCCTTCCACATGGCTTTTCCTCAGGGAAGCTTGTGCTTCCTTACACCATGGTAGCTGAGTTGTAAGAGAGTCCAAGTGGAAGCTGCCAGGTTTTTAAAGGTCTAGGTTTAGAACAGAGCTACTTCTGCATTCTCCTATTAAAAGTAAGTCACAGGGCTGTCCCAGGTCCTAGAAAAGGGAAGAGAGACTCCATCTTTTGGTGTCAGGAGCACCATGTAGATGCAGAGATAGAACGCATAGTTGGCAGCTGTGTTTTTAAACAAAGTACCACAAACAGTGAGCATAAGTAACCCAAATCATTTTGCTTGGGTTTGCAAAAGGCATATCCAGTCATACCAATATTTAGATAACTTTGGTTTTCCATAGGAAGTGATTATATGGAGGCTTTAAGAAGAGCTATCAGTAGGGAGACTGGGTGGATTTCAACACACTTTCCATCTAATAGTCTATTCCCACACTGCTATGAAGAAATACCTGAGACTGGGTAATTTATAAAGGAGAGTTTTAATTGACTTACAGTGCCACATTCTTGGGAGGCCTCAGGAAACCTACCATCATGGCAGAAGGCAAAGGAAAAGGAAGCACCTTTTTTACAGGGTAGCAGGATAGAGTGCGTGCAATCAGGGGAAATGCCAGGCACTTATAAAACTTTCAGATTTCATGAGACTCACTCACTGTCATGAGAACAGCATGGGGGAAACTGCCTCCATGATCCAATTACCTCCACCTGGTCTCACCCTTGACATGTGGGGATTATGGGGATTACAATTCAAGGTGAGATTTTGGGTGGAGACATAGCTAAACCATATAAATTAGATTAATCGTCTTTTATGCCGTAGAAAGGATCTGAAAATCTCTTAATGTTGAATTTAGCATTGTGCCTATTTTTGAAGTCAGGGAATATGGAATATGTGTATTTTACTATTATTATTTTTTAATTTCAGGCACTCTCTTTTAGTAAAATTGGAGGTGAAGATGGAGATATTCACCAAGGTTTTCAGTCACTTCTTGCTGAAATTAACAGAACTGACACTCAGTATTTGCTTAGAATTGCTAACAGGCTCTTTGGAGAAAAGTCTTATGACTTCCACACAGTAAGTTGTACTTGTGTTTTATTAAAAAAAAAATAAAGAGAGCAATGTGATGGACAGTAGTAGAAAGAATGTGAGCTATGAATTCATACAGGTGGGCCTGAATTCACAACTTCATTCCCTAACCTCACACGGCTCCTCTGATTGTTTTACTGTCTGTAAAATAAGTCTTATAGCAGATGCTGACAAGACTTTCATGAAGCTTAAATGAGTTAATCTTCATAAAAGAACTGACTGACACAGAGCATAGCACAATTGGAGACAAATCAGCCAAAACAAGAAAACGATCAAAATGCATATTTCTAGTAATTGCTTTGCAGATGTTGTTAACTTTTCCTGCATCGTGACACTTCTTATGCATTTAAATATTTTGATTTGATTTTTAGACACTGCAAATCTTTTAAAACATATTTTAACTACCTTGGCTCTATTTGTTGACAAGTCTTTAATAGTTTTTTTTTTTTTTAAAAACAAAGGTGCTCAAGTAATTTCTTGTTAAACAAAAATGCAAATAATGCATATAAATCAGCAATCCTCATTAACTTCTAACTCCAATACTCCCCTTCTCAATGTCTGAGCTTTTATAAATTTGGAGCGTACCCTGCTTCACATACAGAAATGCTGCTTTTTGAAGTTTCCTTCCTAGATTGTTATTATACTATATATACTATACATATTGTTTTATACTTTGCTTCCTTTTACTTAGCAATGTGTCTTAAATTTTTTTCATCTCAGCATATGCATACCTATATCACTCTTTTTACCCATTTTCTGATATTCCTAAGCATGACTGTACCAAGATATAGTAAACCTTTTCCTTATTGATGAGAATTTAGGTTGTATTTAATCTGGGCCATTACAAACAATAATACCCTTGTACAAGATTTTGTGTTCATGTGCACTAGCTACTATCTAAAATGGATGTGCAGAAAGGAGGAAGGGAATGAGACTTTGAAGCTTTAATAAATATTGTCAAATCACTATTACTAGTGTTGGAGCCATTTACACTCCCCAAAGGATATGTGTGTGGTGCTCATTTTCACCTACTATCAACAGCACTGCATACTATAAACCTATAAACTTTTGGAAGGGCAGGGACAAGATATCGGACTAGAAGCAGCTCATGTGTACCACACGAGAAGTAATAGAAAGGCTAATGAACATTGACCCTGCACACTGATCAATCATCTGAGAAATTACATCGGGTTTCATCAAGGCAGGAGGGGTCCACAGAGAACAGAGAGGAAAGAATCAAGGAACCAGTCTGATTAAGCTCAGCATTGAAGCCTGGAGATTCTCTTCAACACAGGAAAGGGCGAGTGAGTGAGAGCCCCCAGGGGGATTCATGCTGTCTACCAGGACCTGTGCATGACTGAGAGGGAAAATCCCCGACCCCCAGCACCCCACCGCTGCACTTCTAGACTGAGGCAGAGAGCCACCTGGAAGTATTGTGGGGGCAACTTTCAAACCCAAGAAGACCGTTACAAGCCTTGGACCCCGAAGCAGACCATCACTGATGCCATATCCCCAAAAGAAGCCACAGTTGGTTTTGAAACAATTGAGATTCTTTCAGATCCCAAAACCTCTAGTCTTGCAATATAAAAGGATCCACACTTGGTCATTTGTAGTAACTGAATGATTCACTAAATATACAATTATATAGGTAGGTTTTATTTCATTTTGTAATTAAAGAATCAAAATGAAAATTTATAACACATCAAACTCTGTGCCCTTTGAGAAAGTACATAGGTTGGTACACTTACCACTAATTGCAGCTTGGGTTTTTTGTGTGTAAAGACTAGAAAGCAAAACGGAATTCTTCACCTCCTTATAGCATAAAATAATTCTGGCCAGTGAGAAAGAAAGGTTGTGAACCATAAAGTTAAATAGTTATAAGATTTGTACATTATAGTGTGATTTTATGATGTATTTCACTTATTTTTATTGTCTTAGCTACTATTTAGGTTATTACCACCTTTTATTAGCCCTCTATACATGTTATATATGTTTCTATACAAAGAAAAACAAAACTCCAACATACAAATATACGCTGATGGTAGATATTTTAAGACAATAATTTATGTTTAAGATGTTATTTTGATATTGTAATACAAAATAAAAAAATAAGAAATATTCGTCAACAATTTCTCCTTAATTTCTTATTCACTTTTTAAATTCTTATTTCCAAAATCCAAGATCAATAGCAGTAGATAATTAGATGTTTAGTTTTATTCTTCATGGCTTCTAAAATAGTAAGTTAATTTAGATGACAGTTAATTATTTTAAAATGTTTAAACATTGAAAAGATCACCTAGGGCTGCAACAAGTCATCAATATGTCATTTATCAGTTTTATTTCTGATTGTTTTCTTAGTTTGAGAAATTCCAAATTGGCAAAGCCTGAATTGTGGGAGGACTAAATAAAATGATGTACATAGACGAGTTATGCAATGCAATGTCATGAAAATTCAAAAATGTTACATGGAAAAAGTGAAAATAATTCATCAGGTATTCACAGTAATCTTGTGAGGTGTAGGTATTACTGCTTCCCTGTTCTACCAGACAGGACATGGAGGCATAAAGAGAGAAAGAAGGTTTTTGAAGATCCCACAACTAGTAAGTTGCAGAACTTGTGTTCATAACTACTGTTATATTTCTTCTCCAGTGCTGTACTGAAAAGGAAGTATAAAATTCCAAAATAAAAACCAAAACCTGAATAGGGGAATTAAATATTTACCAGTGAGCAATAGGAGAGAAAGATCAGGAAACAATTCCATAGTGCATGGACAACAAATTAATTACTTTAATCCATTTAATTTCCTCCACAGATTCTGCTTTTATATAGCATAATGTAGGTCTTCATGAATATCCTGTAATTCCGTAGAGTAACTGATTATAGTTTGGACTCTTTAGTAAAGTTTTTCATACTCAAAAACATCCCGAATCACAGCCATTGTCTACATGTGGTTATGTGCATTTCAATGTAATTAATTAAAGTAAATGTTTACCTCCTCGGTCCCATTAGCCATATTTTTAGCACTTAATAGCTCTAAGTGGGACCACTCTGGACACTGCCGATTTACAACTTTCCCAACATTGCAGCAAGTTCTGATAGAAATTGCTGGTGTAGTAGTATATAGTCTACTCACATAGTTTATGGAACAACAGACCCAGTTTTATACTGTTATTCTAAAATGTAGATGTAGACATAGCACTTGCCGTATTAATCCTTACTCAACAAATCTAATGGAAACAAAGCAACAGATTCTATAGCTAAAGAATCTTGAATTTTTTTTTTTAAGATTTTATTTTTAAAAGCAGTTTTAGGCTCACGGAAAATTGAGCCTCTCCCATTATTAACTAACTCTCCTATAATGAACTCTCCCACCATCAATATGCTATGTAAGTGCATAACCTCTCCTATTAATTAACATCCCCACCAGAGTGGTGGGTGACATCTTAGTTGCTTCCACCTTGGGCAATTATGAATAAAGCTGCTATGAATATTTGTGTGCAGGTTTTTCTCACCACCGAATTCGGTAAATGCCAAGGGTCATGACTGCTGAGTCATATTGCTGCATCATATTTTTAGTTTTATAAGAAACTGTCAGACTGTCTTCCAAAGTGACTGTACAATACTTTATTCCCATCAGCAATGAATGAGGGTTCCTGTTGCTCCATGCTTTCTTCAGTATTTAATATTGTCAGTGTGTTTTCAATTTCATTTAGTTCAAAATGTTTTTGTCTTTTGAGATTTTTGTTTTGATTCCTGTATTATTTAAAAGTGTGCTGTTTAATCTCCAAGTACTTCTGAATTTTTCAGCCACCTTTCTCTTACTGATTTCTAGATTAATTCCATTGTAGTCTGAAAGCAGATATTACCTGATGTTTATTATTTTAAATAAGATAAGTTGTGTTTCATGGCCTGAAATACGGTCTATTTTGGTGAATGCTGCACGTAAGCCTGGGAAGAATGTGTAATCGGCTCTTGTTGGATGAAGTAGTCAAGGACAATTATATCTACTTATTTGGTGGTTGTTGTTGAGTTCAACTATGTTCTTCCTCATTTTCTGCTTTCTGGATCTTTCCATTACCGATAGAAGCATTTGAAGTCTCCAATTATCATAGTGGATTCATCTATTTCTCCTTTCAGTTCTGGTTTTGCCTTTTGTATCTTGATGCTCCACTATTTGGTGATTACATGTTAAGGATTGTTACGTCTTCTTGGAGATTTCTCAGTGCCTTTTATTATTTCACTGATGCACTGCTACTCTCTTGAAAGATCCAGCAGCTGATGAAATTTATTTGTTATGTAGATTATATATTACTTAGTTTATTAAGCTAAGATTAAGAATAGTTGAAAAGAATTTTGACTTCAGGTTAATTTTTCACATTTGCAATTTCTATATGGTAAATAATAAAATTATTGATTTTCTGATGTGTCACAGTGAAGAAGTAAGTTGTTGGTGTTATTTCGTTAGCTGTGAAATTATGTTGTTCAATTTTTCCTAGTCTTTTACAGATCCCTGTGGCAAATTCTACCAAGCAAAGCTAAAACAGCTTGATTTTCTGAATGATACAGAGACATCCAGAACACAAATAAACACCTGGATTGCTGAAAAAACTGAAAGTGAAAACATATTGCTATTTTATTTCAATAACATTTTAAACAGTCATACAGTCAGTTTCTTTATAAAACTGTCATACATGAAAAGGAGTGCTCTTTTCTCTAAATAACTATGCAAACTTTAAGAGCTTGCTTCTGAAATACTGCTGCAGTATAGAGCTTTTCTCTAGCTTTATCCCTGCACTTATCATCTATCTGTGATATCTCTCAATATGCAGTATATCTCTTCCGGAAGAACCTACACATTTTTATTGTTAATATTAGTTGGGGTTTCTATTAACACATAGCATTAACTTTGGAATTTAAAGGACTCCCTCTCTGGTATTGCCTATGCTCTATGGTTTATCTATGCAATGTGGCAGGATGCTTGGTCATGCCTGTTTTGTGTGTGTGTGTGTGTGTGAGACAGAGTCTCACTCTGTTGCCCAGGCTAGAGTGCAGTGGCGCAATCTCAGCTCACTGCAACTTCCACCTTCCAGTTTCAAGCAATCCTCTTGTCTCAGCCTCCCAAGTAGCTGGAATAGCTGGGACTACAGGCACCTGCCACCATGCCTAGCTATTTTTTGTATTTTTAGTAGAGGCAGGGTTTCACCTTGTTGGCCAGGCTGGTCTCGAACTCCTGACCTCAAATGATTCATCCATCTCAGCCTCTCAAAGTGCTGGAATTACAGGTGTGAGCCACCATACCCAGCCAGTCCTGCCTTTTTAAATCTTTAGTTCTTAAAATGTTCTTATACTTGCTACAACTACCTTTGCCAATCTTTTATGTGTCTTTATTTAAGCCATAGGCATCAATCATTCCCTGCTATATATTATCAGATCATCCTCTTCTCATTAATATCTACTTGTTTGTTTTATGCATCTATTCAAATTGTGATATTTTTATTACAAGAGCTCTATTTCAAGTTTTTATTGCAGTATTGTTACTATGGTTGTTGTGAGGACAAGCATCCCTTTACATGATTTTATTTTGGGACACCGTGAACTACCTTCATGCATACTTGATTTCTCAAACAGATGACATGATCTGGATATCCCTCCTGATACAGTCATCTGGGAATACTTTTAGCTGAATGGTTTTTTAATTCTTCTTTACAGGTAAAATTACAGAGATGCTCTCTCCAGATTTAGTTGATTCATTGACTAAGCTGATTCTTGTGAACGCCATCTACTTCAAAGGAAACTGGGAGAGTCAGTTTGAGAAACATAGGACCAGGAAAATGCCTTTTAAAATTAGCAAGGTGAATATTTTGCAATTTCAAAGGTGATTCTTGGGAACAGTCTCTGTCTTCACATTGGCTTTAAAACATGACTCTTGGTAGATTTGGCCATTACCCTTTGGTCATCCAGCAACAGGACTCCCCTCCAAACCTATGGGCCTTTCCTCTACCTTTCATCTCCTTTGTGTCTCATCAACAGTGGCTACATACTCCCAGGCTTCTGGTCCAGCTTCTATCTCATCTGTGTTGTGTACTTTCTATATTACATATCTGAGTGTATAGTCCTTGGCTTCCCGAAACTTGTGAGATAAACTCAAATGAATGGTATGATGTGTGAGGCTCTTCATAATCTGGATCTCACATATTTCTCTATCTTCATTTCTCCTCAGTTTTGACAATGCACCTCCCCAAGCTGTCTATTCGTCCAAGCTGTCACAGCGATTCCTTCCACTCTGTGGTGGCATTGCAGTGGTTGAATCAGGTGTTCCTTTTCCCACTTTGCTTGTTGCTGTTTGAGTGAGAAAATGCTACTTTACTAGTGCTTAGCTCACACCTGTGTTCGACAAGTACCTAACCAATAAATTATGTTCACTCATCTGTTGATAATAAAGATGAATAAGCACAAAATTTTACCTAAAAAACAGGTGAGCAAAAACACATACACAGGACAGACATAGAGTTTAGCTACCTCCAACTCAGAATACATTATTTGCAAAAGGCCCTTTGTCTTTCTCTAAATCTGGTTTATTCTTTCTTTTTTGTTTAACTCTAGAACTTTCTGGATATATTCAAAAGTAGTAGAATAGATTAACTATTAATCACTGGTTAAATCTTCCATGCCCATTTGTGCCTGATTGAGTCTTTGGTTTCTCAAGGAATGTTATTTTCTTTCTAGTTTTATTTTGATATGAACTGTTCCATTTTCCCCTGGAAAACTTTCTGTCCTTAAGTTTTTTAAAACAAGATGTGTGCTAGGATTTCATTGAACGGCAATTGACAAAAAACTCAACACACAAGGTTTAAACTCTTGATATTCTTCTTCCACAACAGGAATTCTGGAGGTGGGAGAGGCCAAGCCTGATGTGGGTCGTAAGAGAAAGTTTCAGGGACTCACTCTCTCTTCTGCTCTGTCTTCTTTACTTCCATGACTTAATTCCTCATGCTCACAAGCTGATTCAGACATTAAACACACTATGCAGGCAAGAGAAAGCAGGATTGACAGAGAGGGAAGAGTAAATCTTCTCTTTCTGAGGTTCTGGCATTTTTCTCATGAAGGAAAGCTTTTTTTTTCTTTCTCACTGGCCAGAATTATTTTATGCTATAAGGAGGTGAAGAATTCCGTTTTGCTTTCTAGTCTTTACACACAAAAAACCCAAGCTGCAATTAGTGGTAAGTGTACCAACCTATGTACTTTCTCAAAGGGCACAGAGTTTGAGATGTTATAAATTTTCATTTTGATTCTTTAATTACAAAATGAAATAAAACCTACCTATATAATTGCATATTTAATGCATCATTCAGTTACTACAAATGACCAAGTGTGGATCCTTTTATATTGCAAGACTAGAGGTTTTGGGATCTGAAAGTGGGGAGAGGAATTTCCTAGACCAGTAGTTGGCAAACTATGTCCAATGGTCAGATCCAGTCCATCATTTCTTTTTATAAATAAAGTTTTATTGAAACACAGCTATGTTCATATGCTAAAACACTGTCTATAGGTGCTTTTATTTTAAACAGCAAAATTAAGTTCCATTGAGTGCTCCTAAGTTGAAAATTCAAAATCCGAAATGCTCAAAAAATCTGAAACTTTTCGACCACCAACATGACGCTCAAAGAAAATGGTTATTGAAGCACTGTGGATTTCAGATTTTAAGATTAGGGATGCTCGACCAGTAGGTATAATGTAAATGTTTGAAAATCAGAAAAAAAAATCCAAAATCTGAAATGCTTCTGGCTCCAAGCATTTCAGATAGAGATATTCAATCTGTAGATGCAACAGACACTGTAAAGACACCAAGCTGAAAATGCCTACTATTGGGCCATTTCCAGAAACGAGTTTGCTGAAACCTCACTAAAAGTGACAGAACTAAAGAAGAAGAGGATATTGATGGCTGAGCATTAGTTTGTGTGAGCAACAACGTGAAGATAAAAGCTGAAACACAAATATTTTGGAGTTCATTTATTTAATATATATCTGAGAACTGGGACTATAAACTATTTTTGACTATTACTCTAATATTCAATAAATTCACAGTAGCTGCTACTATTAACTTAAAAAGGACTCAGGAATTGAGCAGAATTATTGTGCAGAACATAACATAATCATGGTCCTCGATCTTTCCTACTGTCTGACGATGCGTTAGAAACAAATGTGGTGTTCTTCCAGTAAGTTCTGTTAATTTTTCTTTCAGTATTTTTGTTGTTAAGTAAGTTTGTTTGTTTATTCATTTATTTAACGAATAATGATTGCGTGCTCACTGTGTCATGTATCGCGTTAGATACTATTCCAGACCTGCTCAAAATCTGCAAAGCATCCCTCTCCACATGAAGCTTACATGTTCTTGGAGGAGAAAGACAGTAAATATATATTTAAAAGCAGTGGTATGGACAGGTACAAAGAAAATGTAATAGAAAATTGAGGTGGGGTCGGGTGCAGTGGCTCACACTTGTAATCCCAGCACTTTGGGAGGCTGAGGCAGTCAGATCACCTGAGATCGGGAGTTTGAGACTAGCCTGACCAACACGGAGAAACCTCATCTCTACTAAAAATACAAAATTAGCTGGGAGTGGTGGAGCATGCCTGTAATCCCAGTTACTAGGGAGGCTGAGGCAGGAGAGTTGCCTGAATCTGGAAGGCAGAGGTTGTGGTGAGCCAAGATCATGCCATTGCAGCCTGAGCAACAGGAGCAAAACTCTGTCTCAAAAAAAAAAAAAAGAAAAGAAAAGAAAAAGAAAGTTTAGGTTGGGCAGCACAACCTCAGGTAAGGGTCAGCAAGAAAGCCCTCACTGAAGGAGATGGTATTTGAGACAAGGACAGAAAGAAGTAAGGTCATATGTGTTACAGGTTCTGGGGGAATGAGTTCAGTGGGCAGAGTTGAGATAGTTTGTCCATGGATCTGCGAAGCAGCCACTGTGATTGTGGCAGACAAGCAAAGGGAGTGCACTAAGAGATGAGATCAGAGAGGCAGTGGAGGACAAACTCATGGCACGATTTACTAGTTATTTCAAAGACTTCAGCTTTTGCTCTGAGTCAGGAGGATTTTCAATTCACGCCTCATATGACTTACATTTTAACGGGGTCCTTCGGGCTCCTGTGCTGAGAATAATCACAAGGAGGGTAAGGACAGAAACCAGGCAATCACTCAGGAGTTTACGGCACCATCCCAGATTAGGATGATGGCAGCGGAGGTAGGATGCACAGGTTAGATTTTGGTTACATTGTAAAAATGGGGCTGATATAATTTGCTAATGTGTCAGATATGTGGTGTGAGACAAAGATGGGAGTCAAGGTTAATTTCAGGGTACCTGACAGCTGGAAAGATGGTGTCCCCATCAACTGAGATAGGACAGAAAACAGATGGAGCAGATTTGTAAGGGATTGTGAAGAGCCCACTGTTACAAGTTAGACTGGAGGTTTGTTTTGTATGTTCAGATGCTGATGTCGAGTAGGTAGCGAAATGGATGATACTGGATTACTAAGGTGAGATCCAGGCCAGAGGTGCAACTTGGATTTTATATTTAAATTCATGAGATTAAATGATATTATACGGGAGAAAAGAAATCTTTTTCCTCTATATTCTCAAGTTCTTTGGCTGGGTCCCTGTAGAGTGACAAAAAGAATTAACAAGAGTGAAACGAACAGAAATTTATTAACTTGTGCATCACACATGTACATAGGAAAACTCAATGATGAGTAACTCGAAGAGGTCATTAGAATTTGTGGTGTTTTTATCCAACATAGTAGGAGAAAGGGAGGGGAATAAAGGGCACTTGGGAAAAACAAATGCCTTTTGTGAAAAGATACATGAGTCCTTTTGGAGCAGAATCAATGGCAGAAGTAATAGTCTTGTGACAATGATGGGTGTGTGCGGACTTTTCATCTCTAAGAAAATTAGAATTGTTACTGAGGAAGAGAATAAGGACAATTGAGTTCTTTTGGGAGGTTCTGCTTCTAGGCAGATAGGATATTTCAGAAACTCTAATGCCTTCAGTTCAAAATATTCTTAAACCAAAATGGTATATTTCAGAGTGGCATATCCTGATCTCCTTCAAGATCACCAACAGAAAGCAACGTAGGGACTGAGCCCTGGGCACCCTGGTGTTTGGATATTGAAGTAATGACCATGAGCCAGTAAAGGAAGTGTCTAATACGGGGTTCTAGAGACCAAAGAAAGAAAGTGTTTGTAGCGGCAGAAAGGGACCAACTCTGTTGATTATGTCCAATATTTGACTCTTGTGCTTCAACTTAATGTATATCTGTTTCTTTTCTAGAACAAAGAAAAACCTGTGCAAATGATGTTTAAGGAATCCACTTTTAAAATCATCTGCGTAAGGAAAATATCCAGCCAAATTCTAGTGCTTCCCTATGTTGGACAGGAGCTGAATATGATCATCATACTTCCCAGTGAAAACACTGATTTGAAAATGGTAGAGTGTTTAAAGTATGCATTTCATCATAGTAAAGGTTCTCACAAGCTTTTAAGGAAAAAAGAAACCTTGAAAATTTGTTTTTACCAGTGTTTCCCTGAATTATTGGGCCATATGCCCTTTTCTCTTTTTGTGATTACATCCAGTGGGATGGTGTTCTAAGTGTTGAATACAATTTAGAAAATACTCTTATCCTAGAATGGGCTCAGGTTGGGGCCAAACCAGGTAAGAGTTCAATGTCCTGCTTTACAAGTTAGAAATCTGTACTCTCTCAGGCTTATTCCTATGGAAGGTGGTGGCAGTACCTCCCTATGAGGGATGTTGTAGAATGCAAGGCATGGTGTATAAAGTGTATTTGTTACGATGCTCAGAGTATGCCATTGACTAGTATTAGTAGTCTTCTCCACAACCTTGCCCCATAGTTGTGAGTTTGCTCTTTAGAAAGCAATTATGTGGGGAGCAGCTGCTGTGATTCAGCGTATTACCTAAGGATCTTGTTAGAAAGAAGATTCTGACTTAATAGGACTGGAGTGGAGGAGTCTGAGAATCTGCATTTCTACCAAGCTCCTAGGCGATGCTGAGGTTGCTGGCCCATGGACCACACTGAATAGCAAGGTTGTAGAGAGTCAATGAAAAACGTTAGCTGGACAGTAATTTGAATTTTTAGCAAACGAATCCTTATGCTTGCAATGGATGAATTGGAAGTGTCAAGAATGGAGATAGGTCAGAAAGGATGTTGCTATGCGTTTCAAACAAAACCCGACAAGGTGGGCAGAGACGAACGAAGGGCCAGATAAGAGAGAGATTTGGGATTTTAAATTAACAGAAAATGATGAGGGATTTGTTGGAAGAAAGTTTGGATGGAAGAAAAGGCAACTCTGAGAGCTCCTGCCTCAACATGCTTCTGTTCAGGTACAACAGTAAACTTTGTGAGAAGAGCTGTTCTCAAGCAAATGTAGCCAAATTGTAAAATTCTGCCTCAGGGAAATGGTCTGACTTAGTTTATGGAAAGGAAGAGGCAAGCCCAGAAATATAACATCTATTCATACATGAATGATTTAGCATTACTGTGCTGTCTTCCAGATGTATGCAGTCCAATACGGTAGCCACTGGCCACCTGTAACTATTTACATTTACATTAGTTAAAATTAAACACAATTTTAAAAATAAAGGCTTCCTTTATACTACACACACTTCTAGTGCTCCATAGCCATATTGGCTCATGGCTATCACATTTGGCCCCATGGCCATACATCATTAACCTCATAGCAGAAAACTGTATTGGGGCAACACTGATCTAGACCCTAAAACATCCAACACTCTTCTTCTAGGTTGAGAAAAAACTTTCTTATGAGAGATTCATAGAATGGACAAAGCCAGACAAGATGCAAGCACGAGAGATGGAAGTTTTTTTTTCCTAGATTTAAACTGGAGGAATCTTACAACATGGCGGATGTCCTTCGCAGTATGGGCATGGTTGATGCCTTTGAACGGGACAGAGCAGACTTCTCAGGAATGTCGTCTAAGAAGGACCTGTACTTGTCCAAGGTCATGCACAAGTCCTTTGTGGAGGTCAATGAGGAAGGTACAGAGCGGCAGCAGCTGCAGAAGAAGAAATAGTTTACTGTTGTGCCAGTTACCCCTCAGGTTCTGTGCAGAGCATCCCTTCCTCTTCTTTATCCAGCACAGCAAAACCAACAGTACTCTCTTCTGTGGCCGATTTTCCTCTCCCTAAGGACATAGGTAGTCATTGGATAGAGTCCTTCTCCTTTCTTTTAGTGATTTACATTTCCTATACTCTTTAAAATGTGCCTGTGACCCAAAGGGACTTTATTATTGTAGCAGCAGTCAAAAATGAGATATTAGGAACCTAATTTTGAAATTCCTCGTTGAGAACTCTTGTGTGTGTGTTTGCATGTTAAATGTTTTCTAGGGTCTTTATTTGATAGTCTCTGAGGATTTCGTGGTCACTTTGCAGGTGGTATCTATGACCACTTAGTCAAACCCCTCTGTCTGAAATGAGTTGTTACCCCCTCTCCACTCCCCCACCAACACATTCCAACTGTCAGAACTATTTGCTGTCTCCTCATTTTGTGTATGGTGACACCCTCACAGTCTGCTATGCTTCTGTTTTCTCAAGTAAAAGAAGATACATGTTGTTTTCTGTCTTCTCTGTTCAATAGTATTGACATATATAGACCCATTTTTAATGAAACAACAGAAAGCGAAATGGAGAGTGTGGAGGAAGCATAGTGAGCAGGACTCAGAATGATCAGAAGCCGTCCAGTGCGGTGGCTCACACCCGTAACCAGCACTTTGGGAGGCTGAGGTGGGCAGATCACTTGAGGCCACAGTTTGAGACCAGCTTGGCCAAACATGGTGAAACCCCATCTCTACTAAAAATACAAAAAATAGCTGGGCATGGTGGCGCATGCCTGTAGTCCTAGCTACTTGGGAGGCTGAGGCAGGAGAATTGCTTGAAGCTGGGCGGTGGAGGCTCCAGTGAGCCAAGATCATGCCACTGCACTCTAGCCTGGGTGACAGAGCAAGATTCTGTCTCAGAAAAAGAAAGAAAAGAAATTTTCAATTCCAGAATTTTACCAGCTCTTCGGAAGCTGGCACAGAGGGTGAGAGAGCAGTTAACTGAGACCAGTGAGAATTCAGTCCAATTTCCCGGGTGTTTTTTTCCCTCCTTCCCTCCCTCCCTCCCTCCCTTCCTCCCTCCCTTCCTTCCTTCCTTCCTTCCTTCCTTTCTCTTTCTTTCTTTCTCTCTCTCTCTCTCTCTTTCTCTCTCTTTCTCTCTTTTATTTTTCTGCTGGAGTTCCACTCTTGTTGCCCAGGCTGGAGTGCAATGGCACCATCTTGGCTCACGGCAACCTTCGCCTCCCAGGTTCAAGCGATTCTCCTGCCTCTCCTCCCGAGTAGTTGGGATTACAGGCATATGCCACCATGCTGGGCTAATTTTGTATTTTTAGTAGAGACAGGGTTTCTCCATTTCGGTTGGGCTGGTCTTAAACTGCTGACCTCGAGTGGTCTGCCCGCCTCGGCCTCCCAAAGTGCTGGGATTACAGGCATGAGCCACCCTGCTTGGCCTTCTGTTTTATTCATAGTTTGCATCCACAGGGAACAGTAGGTCACAAGCCTATTCAAATGTACAACCGTCCACTTCCTCTGAAAATTTACGCTTGCTACCAGGAGGCAGAAATGATTAGATATGTTTATTCATGGTAATGCAGTTTGAGATAGCTTCATGCATATACATCACATGTCTTTCTATATTATTTAAAATGTGTTTTGAAAAGCAAGCTAAGCTTTTTGTGGCCATTTGTCTTACAGGCTTAAAATGCAACAGTTGTGATCAGTGATAGGGGAACACACTGATGAGTTAGATTGAAGAGGGAGAGTTACATTGTTTTCTAGGGCACCGCTAAAAAGACATTCCATTAACCCCCTTGCAGCCAGAAAGACCCTGAGCCCTCAGAACTTCACAACCCGTATTTTCATTCCATAACTGGCCCACTTTCCCCTTTGTACCCAAGCCAGCTACTTAGCTTCAGGGAGATAATGGAACTGAGGATTTCAAGGAAACATCCACGTTGTATGTGTGCTGACAGAGGAAGAGAGAGCATCAGAGGTTGCTGTTACTCTCATTTCTCTTCCTCCTCTGCGCAACACTTGGACTTGGAAAGAAGACAGGAAGGTGGGGAGTAATCAGTCCATGTGATTCTTCCACAGCAGAGAGAACCTGAGTGTTACAGACAGGGGCAACTGGGTGGCACCCTGTTCCTCAGGGAAACACACGCCTCTTTGCACTGCCTTGGGGATGGTCCAGTCAAGTGGACTAAGAGTTGGGAATGGGGAATATAAATGGAGCAGCCTCTAACTATCCAAGCAGGAGGGTGTTTCTTTTTCCTCTTTCCTGGAATGAAGATAATCAAATCATATTAATAGTGAATTATGAAAATGAATGATAATAGTTTTATCTGTTATAGAAATATAATGTAATCAGACTTTAACCATGTAAATCACAAATCATAGAGAAAAACAATATGCATATTGTTCCTAGAGGAATGAATATGAATGTTTGTCTGTTGTATCTGAAGGGTTATCACTCAATATTTTATTTCTGTCTTGTAAGGCCTGAAATCCCTGTGCTGCATGACATCCGTGGGCTTCTCAGTGTCTCAGAGGCCTGGCCATGTGGTCCCCTGCTCTTGTTAGATATGTGCACCCTTTTCACCCACTGAGCAGGAAGCCTCCTCACCCTTCTTAGCTCCCCGATCAGCCAGTCAGCTGTACCCCACCTGGGTCTCAACCTGGCTCAATTCCCCACCAGCCTAGAAAATTATTCAAACAAGCCTGTCACATCTGGAGGAGGCCCGATTCATCACTTCCTCTTGTAGTACAAAGCCTGCCTCCCACAGCCCCTGCTGGTTCACTCTGTTCCCAAATGCACCTCTCCTGTGACCCTGTAGGGCATGTGGTGTCCTCCCTCGCTGGGTTGTCAGCAGATAGGCCTAATAAACTGCTGTCAATTTCATTGTCCCTGTCTCATGCTGTGTGTCTGGTTATCTCCTGCTATTTAGTGGGGGAGATCCCTCCTTCACCAACAAGGTGAATATGAGATGATCAAAACAACCACCCTTCTGCGAAAGGTCCAGCCTCCCAAATGATTCCACGTCTTTTGTGAAATTGCACTAAGACATTTCCATTACACTGTGTAGTGTTTCTTGTTAAGTATCCACAAAGTGAATTCCATTTAGACTTGAATTCTAGGAAAAAGTTGATCTCACCTCTTCAGAGATGTTTACTCCATTGAACATTTTACATAGATTATTTAATTCTCAGGGATAATAAACTGTGAAGAATCTGAGACTAGGAAGTTAAGTAACTTTAACAAGTTCTTGTAGCTAAAACGAGGTAGAACATGGATCCAATGTCTGGTAATGCAAAAAACTGGAAAATTACTCAAACAAATCTCTTCCTCTTGTTACTGTGAAACTTGCCTGTATCAGCACCTACCAGAAGGGCAGCTGTCACCACAGTGCAGGAGGAGAATGGACCATAAACCTGACTCCCTTTAACATGAAGTCAGATTTCTCTGGCCATTCTCCCATCGGAAAGGTGGGACTCAGAAACTTCCAGTACCAAAAGCGCATCATCCTGGACCCAGGGATGAGCACCTGGAATATGGACCTCAGGTCAGGTGAATCTGGGCTCTATGAACTCAGCAAGTGTTTCTGCCTTCTCCAGGAGTCCTGGATGGAGGCCCCGAGAGCCTTTGCTCCTTCTATGCATCAATAAACAGGAACTCTAAGGCTCTTGCATTCCTCTTTTCAAAGAGGGCTGAAGGGCCATAGTTGCAAAGGAGAGGTCCAAAGCAGGGGGTGGTTGGGAGGCTGAGAAGGTGCAGGCTGTGCCTGCACGAAGTCCCCTCCAGAAGCTGATGTGGTTCTGCATGTGAAAGGTGGCCTTTCCTTTCCTGACTTGAAGCTTTTGTGTTGAAGGAGATGGAGGGGGCAGAGGACTGAAGGGAGGTTTCCAGTCTTCTGGGCTTTCTGCACAAGCTGATATTGACCTGATATTTGCAGGCCACGGCATGGAACAGGCACATCTGATTGGTACATCTAGTGGCTGTTGGGGAATGCAGCATAAAATTCCTCTCCCACCAGTACTAGTGTTGATTTCAGAAGTAGTCTTCTCCCTCCCTCTCTCTCTTTCTCCCTTTTTCTCTTTCTTGACACAGAGCATTGCTCTGTCACCCAGGCTGGAGCACAGTGGTGTGATCTCAGTTCACTGCCACCTCCAGCTCCCGGGTTCAAGCAGTTCTCCTGCCTCAGCCTCCCAAGTGGCTGGGACTACAGGTACACACCACCACATCCAGATAATTTTGTATTTTTATTAGAGACGGGGTTTCACCATATTGATCAGGATGGTCTCGATCTCTTGACCTCATGATCCACCCACCTGGGCCTCCCAAAGTGCTGGGATTACAGGTGTGAGCTACTGCGCCTGGCCAGAAATAGTTTGTTTTCTCTAGCTGCTTGTGACCAAGCATACAATGTTTTATCAGTGAATTTCTTACATGCTGTCCTTGAAATGAAGGATTCTGGAGAGGATCACGAAATGAGGGACAGATTCATTAGTTATCATCCATATTTAATGACAGGTTTGCCTGAGAACTCTATTCATCGCTGTTCCAGGTATCAATTTATTGTCTGTCAGCTCTAAATCTACCTTTGTGGACTTTGTAGTAGTAAACCTGGATCCTGTGACAAAAACTTCACTGGTTGGACCAGTGTTCGGCTCTGCCAATAGAGGGAGCTAGAGAGACACTGTAAGGAGATAGCAGAAATGCAGTTTGTAGATTCTGATCTTCCCAGGATTATTCAGTGTAGTCACCCAGCAGCCCACTTGGTCATCTGTAGCCACATCCTCAGGCCATGCTTCCTCCACACAATGGCCATTTCCGCATTTGGTCAAGATGCAACCGCTGGCAACTATGTCTCTACGGGCATTTGCCTGCCCTCATCCTCCAGCAAGGGCAGATGGCTTCTGTGAACCAGCTCTGGCCCTCTGGCAAGTTTCATAGCCACTGAAGACTGCATGTGCTGTGGCAGCCACAGCTCCACAGAGCTTTGAGTCTCAGCCTTGGGACATTCAGTCCTATTAGCTTGCTCAGGTGGGTATAATAAAATATCATAGGCTGCGTGTGGTGGCTCACACCTGTAATCCCAGCACTTTGGGAGGCTTAGGTGGGCAGATTACCTGAGGTCAGGAGTTCGAGATCATCCTGGCCAACATGGTGAAACCCTATCTCTACTAAAAATACAAACAAAAACAAAAACAAAAACAAAACCTAAAAAATTAACTGGGCATGGTGGCATCTGCCTGTAGTTCCAGCTACTCAGGAGGCTGAGCCAGGAGAATTGCTTCAACCCAGGAGGTGGAGGTTGCAGTGAACTGAGATCATGCCACTGCACTCCAGCCTGGGCAACAGAGTGAGACTGTGTCTCAGAAAATAAAAATAAAATACCATAGACTAGAGAGTTTAAACAACTGGCATTTCCCAGCATTTTGGAGGCTGTGAAGTCCAAGATCAGGGTACCAGGAGATTTGGTTTCTGATGAGGGCTCTATTCCTGGCTTTTAGAAGGCCTCCTTCTAGCTCGATCCTCACATGGCAGAGAGCAATTTCTCTCTTCTTCTTCTTTTAATGCCACTAATTCCTTCAAGAGGGCCTAACTCTCCTGACTTTATTTTACCCCAATCAACTCCCAAACGCCCTATCTCCAAATGCCATCATCTTAGGGGGTAGAGATTTTACATAAAAATTTTGTGAGGACATAATACAGTCCATAGCATATATGTCTTTCCCTAAGTCCTTAGTTCTTTTTGTCCACTTACTCCAAGACATGAAGTGGCAATTTCTCTTTTGTACCTTCTACATTTGCTCCCATTACAGTTTTTTGCTAATCTATTACTTAATAATTCTCTATATTCTCCTCTCTTCAAATCTCTGATGTAGTTTCTGTTTGCAGAGTGAACACTGCCTGATATAACCGAATAAGCATCTCTCACACTATTATGAAAGAGTGGGGCAGAAGTTTGAAGTCCACTGTGCAGGTCTACCAAACCCATCCTGGCTTGAGGGAATGCAGATATTAGAATAACTACTCCACTAAAAACTGAGAATTGGCCGGGCGCCGTGGCTCACGCCTATAATCCCAGCACTTTGGGAGGCCGAGGCAGGTGGATCACGAGGTCAAGAGATCGAAAAAATTAGCTGGGCATGGTGGCACATGCCTGTAATCCCAGCTACTCAGGAGGCTGAGGCAGGAGAATTGCCTGAACCCAGGAGGCGGAGGTTGCGGTGAGCCGAGATCGCGCCATTGCACTCCAGCCTGGGTAACAAGAGCGAAACCCCGTCTCAAAAAAAACCAAAAAACAAAAAAACAAAAAAAAAAAAACTGAGAATTCTGAGATTAATGCTGAATTAGGCAAGACTCAAGAACAACTGATATGAACTCACACTGTTTCAACAATCAATGGCAACTCTATTGATAAACTAAAATCTGAGAAGATATCAGGGATCTGCCATTCAACTTTCCTATCTGCAACACGTTCAATCAAAGCACAAAAAGATACATTTAGAAACAGAGACCTTTCCAATTGCCTTCAAACTCTTTGTCACTTAATACTTCCCTTTAACACCCTTGAAATTAATGGAGAAACTGACAATTCACTAATAAGGGATGAATGGCAGTTTCCAGGCAATGTCATATCAGGAGACTTTTCTTTTACAAGTTCCTTGGAATCCAATACCAGGCATATTAATGTAATGCTTTTCACATTAAGGTCCACTGGGTTCTCTATACCCTTGGTCAGCAGACGCTCTACAACATTTATGTTTCATTGCTTACATTTGTCTTGGTAATAATCAAGACATTTTAATATAAGCATTGTCTTACTCTCTGTTGTGTTGCTATATGGGAATAGCTGAGGCTGGGTAGTTTATAAAGAAAAGAGGCTTATTTGGCTCATGTTCTGCAGACTGCACCAGAAGTATGGCACTGGCATTCCCAGGCTTCTGGAGAGGGCTTCTGTGCCGTGTCAAAACACGGTAGAGAAGGTCAAAGGGATGCAGGCACATGAGAAGAGGGACCAAATATGGGAGGAAACTTACTGTATAACATCCCACTCTTGGCAGAACTAATGCATTCCTTGAGAACGAGTTCTAACTCACTACCAGGAGATCCGAGGCTTTCACAAGGAATCCACCCATATGACGCAGACACCTCTAAGTACAACACTGGCATGCCAGGGACTAAATTGCAATGTAAGTTTCGGTGGAGACAAAAATCCATACCCCAACCACAGCCAGCATATTTTGGATGATCTGGATAGCTGCTTTATAACTCAGTAGTCTGTTTGAATTTAGGATTGTGCTGTCAGTAAGCAGTACTCATTTGTCTGGGGAATGTTAATGAAAAATGACAGTAGACTCTATAAAATGATTCATTAACTGAAAGGAGTAACCAAATAATATTCAAGAAGGTTTTAATTGTTTGAACGGCGAGAAGTGGTGGGAAAACTGAAAAGAGAATGCAATTGTGAACACTGAATGTACCCGATAGGATAGGCACACTGGTATCAAGAGAATCAGCATTAATGCAGGCAGAACACATTTCAACTTAAAAATAGAAATTTCCCTACAGCAACACAGCACCACGGATCACAGACAGGTCCACTCCATTTCATCATTTAGCCCAACTTCTCCTAGAGAGTGCACATGCCATTCCTTAAGTGTTATCACAATTGGATTAATTTTTACTGACATTTATTCATTACAATTAAACTATTCTTCCATCACTGAATATGTGAAACACTGTCCCAATTGTTTGGTGGCAATATTATTACTGCAGGGTGTGGCAGAAAAAGCAGTTCTCTGAGAATGTAGTCATGCCCGACTGTAGTCTCAATTTTCTCATGAATTCTTCATGGGACTCTGGACAAATCACACAAACTATCTCTATTTCACCATCCTCCCCTACAAAATATAAGGAACCTCGTCAATAATATGGTTCTTTCGAATGCTTTCATTTTACGACGCTACCTCTGTTTCTCTAGCACTAATTAGCAGAAGCAAGTGTGTTTTGTTGTTGTTGTTGTTGTACCTAACACTTTTTCAAAACCCAGGAAGCTTGCTGGGAACCTCATGGGAGACTGAGAGGTGTGGCTGTGCATGTATGAAGTAAGTAACTGTGGCTGGAGAATATGGTCAGTCACAGAGGACGTTTTGGAAGTCTTGTGAGACTTTTTTTTTTTTTTTTTGAGACAGAGTCTCACTCTATTGCCCAGCTGGAGTGCAGTGGTGAGATCTCAGCTCACTGCAACCTCTGCCTCCCTAGGTTCAAGCAGCTCTCCTGCTTCAGTCCCACCTGGTAGCTGGGATTACGGGCACCCGCCACCATGCCCGGCTCATTTTTGTATTTTTAGTAGAGACGGGGTTTCACCGTGTTGGCCAGGCTGGTCTGGAACTCCTGACCTCAGGTGATCTGCCTGCCTCGGCCTCCCAAAGTGCTGGGATTACAGGCATGAGCCACTGTGCCCCACTCCATAAGCCTCTTTAAGGTGGAGTATTTGTTCATTTAACACAGATATCTCAAAACATGCTAGGAAGTTCCAACTATGTCTACACTCTACTTCCTTCTTGACAAGCAGAAGTCTAATTTGGAGACACTGGTAGCTCAACTTGAGACTAGCCTAGGAGTGGGCCCTTTCTGAGGGCCACAAAGTCAGGAGCCAAGGAAGTCAGCCACAACTAGGTCAAGATTGAGTCAGGAGTTGAGAATCAGCAGATACTCCCCAGTACTGACTGAAGAGATGAAAAGTAGGTATAAGGCAAGAAGACAGAAGATGACGCTGAGTACACTTTCTGAGACACTGAATGATACAGTCTGGAACCTTCTTATCAGGTACCTGTCATCTTCCTAGTGGGCCAGGGGACAGGCTTCATGAGTGGGGAGCTTGTTCAGGCTCACTCTGAATTGGGCTGTAGTCACTCTGATGGGTTTCCCTTTAGGATCCAGCAATTAAATTGTCCACACTCAGAAAATAAATCCAATTGATCCTCATGAATATAGACTTGCAGACAAATTCCTTACCTAGGAAAACAGACCAGTTCCGCATTTCATTGCATTATTTCAAAAATCAGATTTGTTCATTCTTGGATTCCTCTTTGATTCTTCCTGCTCCCTCTTCCTTTCATGGCCCAAGAAGTGACACCAAAGTTGTGTCCTGCAATGCCTCAAGGCCATGTCCTCCTCTCCATTTCTCCTGCCTTCACTCCATTGATGTAGGCCTGAGGGCCCCACAGGGTCATGGGGTGTCCCTTATGTTATGCTGAGGCACAGGATCTGAGAAATAAAGAGACAGAACTCAGAAGTACAAGGAAAACACAGTTGGGCTCAGGGGGGCCACACCACCTATAAGTGGAGTCAGGAGATGCCCCTAATGTCCAGAAGCATATGTATTTATTGTGTATAGGTTAGGGGGCAGGGCAGTGAGTGAAATCATTTTTAAGGATAATGATAGGGCCGTGAGCAATAGAACAAGGGGTCCACCCCCGTTAGGTCACCTAGGCTAGGAGGTGGACAGTGCACAACAAGGGATCCATTCCCATTAGGTCGTAGAGGCAAGGGCCATGTGCAGTAAGGGGTCCACCCCATTAGGTCACTGAGGCATGGAGGTGGGTCGTGCGCAGTGAAGACAGTGCAGTGTGCAATATCTCTATCTATGGGCAACCTACTTCTAAGATGTATAGAAGGATGCTTTAAGTCACAGAGCAAAGACATAGCAGTCAGGGTTACTGCCACCTGCTGGCAGCTTCCAATGGGTTCTATGGGAAGATGCTTTTCGAGCAGCACAGTAGCAAGAGCTGATAAAGTTCACAGTCACCAAGGTGAGATTGCTGGTCTGAGGGCAGCCTTCCACAAGAACTGGAGCAAGGTCCTACAACTCCTTCACCAGGAGGAGTGGCTCTTGCCCTAAGCCTGCCATACAGCAGGTATCTTTACAATACTGAACGCTGCTACCAGGGTCATGGCTTCTTGTCCTGGTATAACTGTTTTCCCTTAAATCATGCGCTGCACTGTGTCTGCTCCAGACATTCCTCCGACTATAAGCTGCTTATTCCTTAATTCATGCTCTGTACTGTGTCTACTCTAGGGATTCTTCCAATTATGAACTAAGATATATATACGGAAATAACTGAGTGGTAAGAGTTTCTTTAGGCACTCATTCTATGAAATAACATGATTATATATACAGGATTATATGAAGAGAAATAACTACGTAGTAACACTATGAGATATTCTCCAAGCCCTAATTCTATAAACTAATATATGATTGATTAAATAAAGGATTATATAGAAGGAAATAACTGAGTAGTAACACTATAAACTGAGATATTCTTCAGGCCTTAATTGTGCCAGGATTCTGCTGAGCTCTCCTTCCTCGCTACCTATGTGGGGGATTATCCACACATTTCAGCTTTCTTCATCTCTTAACTGCTATTTCCCTAACACCTCACTGCAGGCAATGGTAGCCTCCTGCCATATACTCCATGATGCAGCCAGAGGGACCTTTGTAAATACAAATATGACGACGTTTCTTCCCAGCTTAAAATCTTCATGTTTCCCCATAGGCTGCAAGGTAATGAAGAAACCCCACCAACACAGTCGACATGGCCCTTCATGATGTGGCTCTGTGGACATATCAGACGCGCTCTTGCAGTGCCTCATTCCCACTATCTGTACCACTGCAAGATATATCATGGTTTTCCAAAATCATGGTGCCGTCTTGTGCCTCTCTGCACTTGCATGCACTGTGTTTCCTGCATGGGATATTCGTCTTTACAACCAAACTCTCAGTGACCATATTATGTCCTTCATAAAGGACTTCAAACCAACAAGCATTTGCTGGAAGTTTCAGGGAGGAAAAAAACCGTTTTTCATCTTTTAATCTGTTGCTGGTCAGAGGAAAAGGAGTGGATGGATCAAGTGTGGCCCAAAGTCTGAGTCTAGTACTAATCAACAAGGAGAAATTGATGCACAATGGAAAAGTGACCTTGGCATTTTCAATTGGCAGAGTAGTTAAGTTTGGACACAGTTCAAACGTTAGTCTGTAGCCACTAGAGAGGGTTTCAAAGCCATGGAGAAAAGACAGGGGTGAATCCTGCACCAAGACTTACTGAGGAGAGTTCTTGGGAACAGTTACTCTTAGGATTCCACAGGGAAATCACCGGGTGAGCTTTACTAATACTGCTGCCTGGTTCCCTCCCCCAAGATATCTTTACTTAACTGGTTTGGGGTGCAGAGTGGGAATGTGGATCTTTAAAAGCAGAATTCCAAACTGGAGAGCTCTATGAAAGCATCCTGCAGGAGACATTATTTGAACTGAATGTTGAAAGACAAGCTTGTATGCCAGGAATCCCATCTATATGAGTAGAGGATATGAAGGAATGTAAATACTTTATTATGGCTCTAAAGAAAAGAGCGAAATCAAGACTTTAAGAGGCTTAAGTACTTGCTCAATAGTTTATAATTTTTTTTTCTTGGATAAGAGGTTATAAAGGATTTTAAACTGAGGTATAAAATAATTAGAATTGGAATGTTTACTTGAACTTCGGAGTAGACAATAGGTTGGCATGGATCAGAACTGAAGGCAGGAAAATTGTTTAGGAGAGACATGAGACATGATGGAGGTGAGAGAGAGAGTACAGATGAGAGTGAGTATGGATGGGAGAGAATATGGATAGAAATAATAGGACTTTCAATCATTTAGTTCAGAGAACTGGGGAGGGACACACCCAGCTTTCTAGAAGATGTCCTGTAGTACACAGGTAACATCTACAGCTCAAGAGACAGGTTAGAGATTTTGAAGAAATAAGTTAACAGTTGAAACATGAACCTATGGATATAGGGGAGGTCATACAAGAAGATCATATTATAGTGAAAAGAAGAGCGTTTAGAATGGGAGGAAAGGAATCTGGATACTAAGCAAAGGATTCGGGAAAGAAGGGAAGGGTGCTCTGGACAGCCTGCAAAGGTCAAAGAGGAAAGGGCTAAAGGTTGCCAACAAAATGAAATAAGACCTGGGACACATTTCTGGCCAAGGCAATTGCAAGACAATTAGTGTCCTCAGCAGCAGCACTTTCGGAGAATGTTTGGATGGACATCTAACTGCAATGGAGTCAAAAGTGAATCAATGGTGATAAAAGGACAACAGTCTATGAGTACACTTTTTTAGGGAAATTTTAATGTATTTTTGGCTATTTAATGATAACAAAACGTTTTAAAATAATTCAATTTTTTTTTTTTTTTTTTTTTTTTTTTTTTTGCAGATGCGAACATTTTTTACAAATTGTACTTTTAAGTTCTGGGGTGCATGTGCAGATCTTGCAGGTACACACATGCTATGGTGGTTTGCTGTCTCTACCTCCCTGTCACCTACTTCAGGCATTTCTCCCAGTGTTATCCCTCCACAACCTCTCCACCCCTCAGTGTCCCTCCCCTAGCCTCCTGTCCCCCAACAAACCCCAGTGTGTGTACACTTTTTATAAAAAAAAAAATAGGTCAGGGTACAGTGGCTTAGGCCTGTAATCCCAGCACTTTGGGAGGCCAAGGTGGGCAGATCATGAGGTCAAGAGATCGAGACCATCCTGGTTAACATGATGAAACCCTGTCTCTACTAAAAATACAAAAATTAGCTGGGTGTGGTGGCAGGCACCTGTAGTCCCAGCTACTCAGGAGGCTGAGGCAGGAGAATTGCTTGAGCCCAGGAGGTGAAGGCTGCAGTGAGCCGAGATTGTGCCACTGCACTCTAGCCTGACAACAGAGGCTCTGTCGCAAAAAAAAAAAAAAAAATAGTAAAAATAAAAAAAAGACTGTGAATGGAAAAATGAAAAAGCAGGGTGGTAGTTACAAGGCATAAAAAGTAAAGAAAGCATATTTGTTTTTAATGTGTGAGATATTGAGCATATTTTCACCCTAAGACTTTGCAAAACAGTGAAGAGATTAAGGATGCAGGAGGGAAGGTAACTCATGTACTTACATCCTGGGAAGGAGGAGGTCTACTTCCTTCCTTAAAACAGAGAGTTAGCAGGAAGTGGAAGTTGCAGTGAGCTGAGATTGTACCACTGCACTCCAGCCTAGTGACAGAGCAAGACTCTGTCTCAATTAAACAACAACAACAACAACAACAAAACAGATGGTTAGGATAAGCTAGGCCTAGTCAAGTGGACAGTTGGCCACTCCTGCAGAGTGGGAGTAGAGTGAAAACCCTGGAGATATGGAAGTTTCAGATTAAGACCTTCCCTTCACCACCACTTGCCTTGAGACCCTGAGAATGAATCCCTGTGTACTCTTTTTCCCAGTCATGTTCAGTCAAAGACATGTTAGGGCTGAGATTTTTGAAAGACTTTCTAGAGTAAGAACCCTTTAAATAGTAGCGGTCTAATATAAACCTGAAGAGGCAAGGATTACTTTTCAAAATTGTTCTGTGAGGCTCTAAACTTGAGTGTCCATGTTTATCATTAACTCCTATTTAGTCTGTCCAGTTCCTCTCTGGAAGCAGAGCAGCACAGACTTTGGGATCTAGGATAACTGAGTTTGAATTGAAACTTGTCTCTTTGAACACAGACACTGAGAAGCATGTTTCATAAAATACAGGGTTGACAGAAGCATTCTTGCGCCTTTGCTTTCAGCGAGATATTGAGAGGAATGCTTGCGACCAGATGGTATCACTGTAGTTTTAAAAAACAAAAACCTAGGATGTTAAATAGCAGAACTTTTATAATATTTTGTAATTAGCAGGAAAACAGCCATCAGTCTTTTGAAAAATGCTGACTTGCTTGTTATCTCATATAAGTGTACTTTAAAAAAAGAATTAATTACATACTTGCTTTTTTTCTTTTTCTTTTGTTAAAGGCTACTCTTCCCTCTTGTGCTGACTTTTCCTGTGATGATAAGCTGTTGTCAGTAGTAGAACACCTAGCAAATGTTTTTGAAAAAAATACAATTAAATGCCTTTCAAGTAAATGTCCATCGTTTCCATGAATGAGAAATGAACTGTTTTTTAGAAGTGTCTATGGTAATCATTTTCAGAACCCCTCTTGGGATATTTTTCCATGACTGTATGACTTTGTTATTAAAAAATGTTAACATTCTCATATAAGAACACTTTAAAAACTTGGAAATGTAGGTTTCTAACCTTCATAAAAATCTTCCAAAAAGAATAGGTTCGGTGGGCTTCGAACTGTTGCAATGATAAAAATTAAATTACTTTTAAAAACCGATTTCAAGAGGATAGATTTTTACTAGATTCCAATCAAATATCTTTGAGTGATTCGTATATAGACTGAAAAATCAAATGTCAAGGTTTCATAAGTAGAACGAATGCTCTTTACTCCATTTAAATCAGTCCATTTCCCTCCTGAGACCTTTTCCCCATGATAGCTACCAATCCAAACTTAAATTTGTTTATATGCTTTATAGCATTTAGAATACATTAGTATTGAGCACACTATTATGTACAAATTCACAGAGATCCATTGGGATGAGTGTCAAAACTTGTGTTGATGGGTGTCACGCCAAAACAGCTTGGAAACTGCTGACTTTAGCAACTTTAACCTTCTGGTTTTGCCCTTAGTTAATTTTCAAAGTTAAGTCTTCACTTTGCGAGTGCTCTTGCATACACACACCCGAAACACGAATACTGCACATAGTAACCCAGGAAAACAAACCAATCTCCTATTGAGCAAAGCCTTCCACAACCACCCTCCGAGGACCAGGCACAGACAGGCCCTCTCTCCGGTGCCCACAGACATCCACACAGGCCAGCAGGCTCAGCCTCGGAATCGGAGTCAGGGATTGCACAGGCCAGCGCAGGGAAGGTTGAGTCACCTGCCGGAAGCCTTGCCCTCAACCAAGGCGGACGTGAGGCATCTACAAAGCAGGAATAGTCGAAGCGGCGGCGGCGGCAGCAGCAGCAGCACCAGCAGCAGCAGGAATTGGGGACCTCTCCCAGGTACCGGGCGGGGCAGGCACGCAGGTGCCCAGGTTCCCACCGGGGTCCCCTCTTCCCTGGAGCGTAGGAGAGCGCGGGGGGCGGGAGGAAGGCTAGGAGCAGGAGCCAGAGCAAGACAAAGGCGGGCAGGAACTAGGAAAAGGAGGGCGGGGAGCAGCCGGGAAAGAGAGTTGCGGGGCTGTGGGGGTCGTGGGGGTCCCAAGCCCCACCGCGAGACCGGACCAAGGCCGAGGGCCCGGCCCCAGATCCCGAGCGTGCGGACCCACCCGGACTCTCCGGCTGCGCGGGGAAGAGGAGCGTCTGTCGCTGGGACGGCGATTTGCTGCGCTGTGATTTGCTGCCCGGCGGGCGCGGCGCGTGAGGCGCGCCCCGCGTTTGGAAGCGCCGGAAGCTCGGGCGGGAGCAGGGGGACGGAGGTGGGAGGAGCCGGGGGACGGAGGTGGGAGGAGCCGGGGGACGGAGGTGGGAGGAGCCGGGGGACGGAGGTGGGAGGAGCCGGGGGACGGAGGTGGGAGGAGCCGGGGGACGGAAGTGGGAGGAGCCGGGGGACGGAAGTGGGAGGAGCCGCGGCTGCGGAGGAGGCTCCGGGAGCTCGGGAGGCCGGGTCTGGAATTTACGCGGCGCGCGGGGCAGGTCGGGGAGGCGCCGGGTCCCTGCTTACCCGGCACCCACGCCAGCCCCGGTGCTTACAGCCCGTCGGCTGCACCCTCTCCTCCTCCCCATCCCCCTCCCTCCGTTCTTTCCACCCTTCCCTTCTCTGCATCTTTCCTATTCCCTTCTTCATTGGCTGCCTCCTCTCAAATGGGATGGGGGAGGAGCTTTTTCACCTACTAGTGGCAGCCACAGGCGTTACTTTAACCAGTTCCTCACTTTCCAGACACCCTCAGTCCTCGGGCTGCTACTCCGGCCTGAGACCTCCCCATTCCAAACGGCCTCACCCAGGGCTGCTCCCCCGGCCCTCCCGCTTCCCTGCCTCAGGCTCCTAGGCCGCCGCCTCTTCCCTGGGCCCGTCGGAGGGGCGGCGCGTCCTCCGAGTTCTCCCAGTACACCCAGATGGCTGGGTCGCAGTCTCTCTCTCCCTCTCTCTCTTTCCCTCGTCCTTCTCTCTCTCTTCCTTTGACTACCACTAGATATTGGAAATTCCCAGAAACAGGTGGATTTCTTCCCTGGTGCCCCCACTAGATGTTCTGCGTTGTTTCATCCACTGGTCATGGAATCTTGGAATCGGTATGCGGGTGGCTCCGGGTCTTTGGCTCTAGACTGTCTACTCACGCCCAGTGCCTGTTTACAAACATCCTTGACTGTCTTTGTTACGGGTTCACCTGGTATGGTGTGTTCCACGCATCTCAAATGGAACGTGTCATATTCCCATTCCGGCCTGACTCCTCATATAAAATTCCAGTGGTTCATGACCCACACTGAATGTGAATTTATAACAGCTAGGCGCCTCGGGAGTTGGCCCTCCTGTGCTCCATCCCTATGTGAGCAGTCAGTCCGCCGGGCAATCCCAGCCTCCACTTCTCTATTGCAGACAAGCCCTCTGCCGTTAGCAGTCCCTGGCCCATGGTGGTGGCCTACCTACCAGTTCCCCAGCCTCTTTTCAGACCAAATACTGAAGCAGGTCATCTTTCTGAAACCCCAAATGCACTCACATGAGATGTTTGTTTAAAAACTATGCGTGGCTTTCCAGACCGTAATCTCAAGTTCAGACTCCTAAATGTGGCATAAGGGGTCCATCCTGTCTCACTACCACGTGGCTCACAGGAAACCCTGGAGACCCACCCCATGGGCCCCACAAAAACCATGCCCTTTGTCTTCCTGCCACACTCTTGGCACCTGCTAATTCCTCAGCCTGAAATTTGCACCCCCCTTTCACCACCTACAGAATGCCTGCACAGCTTTTAAAGCCAACTTCTCTGGAAAGACTTACCAGCCTTCTATAGAGTTTTTCTTTGTTTGTTTGTTTTTGCTTTTCTGAGGACTTCCTTAGCACTTGGGAAATTATCCTGTTATAGAGCACCTGACTGACTTGAACTACGCATTTCTATATATGTCTTCTCCAGGGTGTAAGCTTTTGGTCAGAGATTATGGAGTTTATTCTTCATTTTCTCCTCCGCAAACAGGTAGTGAACGTTCTACACAAATGCTCTTTGAGTAAACTCACTTTTGGATGTTGTATGGGGAACCGGGAGTGGAAGAGGGAGTTCACAGATATTTGGGGCTCCCAGGAGGAGAATAATACCACAGACTTAGAAACAGAGGGCTTGCTTTTGAGGCTGACTTTCACTTTTTCTGTGAGTCCTATGGACAGTATTTAATTGCCTCTGTCTTTGTTCCCCTGTAAAGGAAAAACTAGTTTAATGCCAATTTATTTGGTTGGTTGGAAATAAAAACTTCTGATTCCTGTGTTTTTATAACACAATCTAATTGTGGCGCTGGCACCTAAAGTATTTTTTTGTATTATATTAAAATCAAGTGTTTTTTTGATATGTTGGGTAAAGTCCATTTCGTTTGAAATTCCAACCGTTTCAAAAGCTGTGATGTCCAAATGAGATTGGAGCACTAGGAAGACAGGGGGGAAGAGTCATTCTGTTACCTGGTTTTGTCCCCTGCCTGCTGACCTGAGCAGAGGCCATCAGGGTGCACTTTTGTGTAAGTGCATATGTATTGTGTATGTAACTGCATATGTTTTATGTAACTGCATATGTATTGTGGCTGCAGGGTAGATATTGATGGGAAATACTACATACTGACCAATACCTGAGTGTTGGAAAGGAATGGAAGTGGAGAAATGAGATGAAGGAATAGGAAAGATGGGAGAAATCAGAAGTAGCAGTTTGCAATTAAGAGCAGTTAAAATGTAAAGATGAGATTGATGCAATAATTCAATTCATTCAGAACTTTTAAAACTATTGATTCAATAGCTCAGACAGGATGATGAAACCCACCTACAGACACAGACACACACACACCCACACCCATCCCAACCTAGGTTCATGCTTGCCTCACCCTGAGTCCAAAGCTCTTAGGTTGGATCAAATCCAAATTTATTTGTGTCTTTGTCTTACCCAGTTTACCTAATTCTCTCCATCTTTGAGTTTCTTTGGTGCCACCTTCTGGTGGGCCCACTTCTATGAAGTTTGAATATTCCTTCCTGCTTCCCAGTCACTGAAATATCCTTAAGCGTGAGATGAGGTTGTAGAGGGCCTGGGACTTGCGTCCGCAGCCTCCTCTGCCTTCTAACATCTGCAGGCCCTCGGATAAGCTCTGGAGAGGCCTTATGAGGTGAGGATAGTGAGGACCTGGAACATTTTGTTCTGTAATAATTTATTTAGAGTACTGTGGTGCACACTATGCCATGATTGTATTTTCTTGATTGACATTTATTTTACTTATTTTGTTTTCTTTTTTTTTTTTTGAACCCTAACCATAACCCTAACCCTACTTTTTTTTTTTTTTCTGAACAGCACTAACATTTATTTTAAACTTTAAAGAATGTGTGCTGCTTTAGGCTGTTGTTCTATATTTAGAATGTTGCTTTTGCAATTTTAAAAACTATAAACTTACTCTTTTGTTTAAGTAATAATACACACTCCCCTGTTTAAAAATATCTTAGGAGGAGGGCCGGGCGCGGTGGCTCAAGCCTGTAATCCCAGCACTTTGGGAGGCCGAGGCGGGTGGATCACAAGGTCAAGAGATCGAGACCATCCTGGTCAACATGGTGAAACCCCATCTCTACTAAAAATACAAAAAAATTAGCTGGGCATGGTGGCACATGCCTGTAATCCCAGCTAGTCAGGAGGCTGAGGCAGGAGAATTGCCTGAACCCAGGAGGCGGAGGCTGTGTTGAGCCGAGATCCTGCCATGCACTCCAGCCTGGGTAACAAGCAAAACTCCGTCTCAAAAAAAAAAAAAAAAAAAAAAAAAAGTCTTAGGAGGAAGCCTTAAGCAAGACATCCAACAGTGAAGATGCTTTAATATAGCTGTTTCCCACTTCTCTGTCTCAGCCACTCAATTCCCCTTTCCTCTCTTGCCCTAAGAGACCCACCCAGAAGACCTGTCCGAGACCCCCACTAAGGGGATACAGTTTCAAAGCTGCTGTACTAGGCACTTTGTAGGCCACTGGGAAACTGGATGATGCTCTATATGTTTATAGAAATGAACACATGCACGGTGATTTATATCTCTAGGTAGAGTTTCCAGGACTTTTCATTTTGCTCATTTGCTAATTTTCCAAACTAGAGCATATTTTTCTTGTTTTACTTTACATTTTTTTTCAGTTAAAATTATACATGTTTATGAAAAAAAGGATAATAGAAAAAATAGCTTGTAGGATCGTGACGTTATGGATGATGGTTTGTCCTTTTATCTTCTCAAATGCTCTCAGTTGTAAGAGCAAAAAGGCTCAGAGAAATTGAGATGAGTTGTTGAACTGTAATATTTTATGAAATAATAGCCTAAGTTTTTATAAGGTTTAATAGAAATAATGTAGAATTTATAAAAATGTACTAATATTATAATAATTAATAGTAAGCTATAGTAACTTTTTAGCACTTGAAGCAAGGTGCCTGACTGGGTTGGGCTCCTACCTTCCACAGAACTGGTGGATAGGGATACTGTCTTTCTTGATGATTACATTTCAAAGGGATGGCTTCCCGGTCTTTGACAAAGACTGTCCGGGGATGTAAAACTATCAAGAAGCTTTTAAAAAGATTTACATCTCAAAGGGGCTGATAAAGAATTTACAGTGACAATTTATCTAAATAAAATGCTTTAAGAAAAAAGAAGAAAGGCCTAAGAGGCAGGAGGAAGCCTGTTTAGTTTGTTTATTTAGTCAAGTTTAGCTTGTCTAAAGTTTATTCAAGCTGCGGGGAGTGTTAAGACCCTCTTAGCCAGGTTGGATCCAAAAATCAATGCATCTGATTAAAAGTGCTCACCCAGTGACAAGACTAGGGCTTCATATTTTACATCCATGCCTATGGGCTTTCTTTGTAACTCCGTAATCCAGTTTCAGCAACTCTTGGGGAAAATGCAGCATCTTTTCGGAGTCATCTTGAAAAGCATTTTTTTTTTTTTTTTTTTTGGTCTTTCCAGTAGCCCCATATTTTAGGTCTGCCTATCTCAAATTTGGTAAAATGTATCTAGCTGTTTTCATGGGCCATGATGACAGAAATACAGTTTTTATTTATGAAGAATTGCATTTATAAGTTTTAGAACATTCTTTATAGCTTATGTTGGAGATATTAAACTGAAAGATAATTAGGAGCAATAGGAAGATTTTGTGTAATGATTAAGAATTCAGGCTCTGGAAACAACCTGTGGGTTCCAGGTGTTTATGGCTACCTGAGGGTTCTGGAATGAGTTACTAAACCTCACTCAGTCTCCTCATCTCTAAAGTGGGGAGTAACTATGTGTTACTGACCTCAATGTGTTATTGGGTGATAATGGAAAGTGCTGAAAACAGTGCCAGGCACCAAGATCTTTTTTTTCTTTTTCTTTTTCTTTCTTTCTTTCTTTCTTTTTTTTTTTTTTTTTTTTTTTTTTTTGAGATGAAGTCTCACTCTGTTGCCCAGACTGAAGTGCAGTGGTGCCATCTTGGCTCTCTGCAGCTTCCACCTCCTGGGGCTGAAGTGATTCTCCTACCTCAGACTCCCAAGGAGCTGGGATTACAGGTGCCTGCCACTATGCCTGGATAAATTTTGCATATTTAGTAGAGATGGGGTTTCACCATATCGGCCAGGCTGGTCTCGAACTGCTGACGTCAAGTGATCAGCCCACCTTGGCCTCCCAAAGTTCTAGGATTACGTGTGTGAGCCACTGTGCCTGGCCACACCAAGATGCTGCTACACCAAGGGAGGAAGCAGTCAGGTCTGGTAGGGTGTCTGTGCTCCTGTTGCTAAAAGGGGTACCTACCAGTCACGGGCCCTGAGATTGGTTATTTTGTGAATAAACCAGTGCTTTGTTTCCTATTGGTGTGGTAACACTTTGCCACAAATGCAATAGCTGAACACAACCCACATTTATTATCTTAGAGCTCTGCAAGTCCTAAGTCCAAAATGGTACAGCAGAGCAATGTTATTTTCTGGAGTCTTCAGGAGAGAATCTGTTTCTTTGCCTTTTCTGGCTTCTCGAGGAGTTCGCATTCCTTCGTTGGTGGCTCCCATCCCTCTGACCTCTGCTTCCATCCTCATGCCTCTGTCTCTGACTCTGACCCTCTTGCCTCTCTCTTATAAAGGACCCTTGGGATTCCATTAAGTCCACTGAGATAACTCGGGATAATCTCACATTTCAAAATACTTAATTGAGTACCATTTGCAAAGTCCTTATTGCTAGGGAAGATCATGTAGTCGCAGGTTTTGGGAATTAGGAGTGAAAGCCTCTGGAGGGGGGTTATTCCACCTGCCATCTCGGCATCCACTGACTGTGGGAAGAATGACCACATGGCTACAGGAGGGCTTGGCTGATGTGCTTCTGTGCTGTGCGTTTGATGCAGATCTTCCCTGATGGATGACCTCTGTGAAGCAAATGGCACTTTTGCCATCAACTTATTTAAAATACTGGGGGAAGAAGACAGCTCAAGAAATGTATTCCTCTCTCCCATGAGCATTTCCTCTACCTTGGCCATGGTCTTCATGGGGGCAAAGGGAAGCACCGCAGTCCAGATGTCCCAGGTATGTGTGCTTGCTGCAAAGGAGGAGAATGGTGTGTTTCCCTTGTTCTTCCATAGAGCGGTCGCTCTGTATTTTTGCTCCAGCTGATGAAAGCATGTGGAACTGGAGGTGGAAGGAGAAGCAGCTTGGCAGTGGAGAAGAGCAGAAATGGGTAGAAAGGTGAAATGTGTTGGGAAGGTCACCTCCTCTGATGTTTATGGGAGAAATCAAGTCATAGATATTTCATCTAGATCAAATCATCAATACAGTCTGGCAAATTCACATTTTTTATAAGTAAGATAAACTATAATTCTGTCCCACAAAAAGGCAAAATATTCCAAACCTGTTACGTTTTAAACTTTTGCTAACATTCTATTTTAAATAGACGTACAGCTGCATAGATTAACTTTTTGTTAAGTGGGTTATTTTTAGTGCATGATTATGCATGCTGGAAAAGGAATGTAACACAAATGTGGACTTATACCTTCTGGAGTGGTTTAGATGATGTATAATCTGTTTGGTCCAAAATGGTGATGTATCACCTTATCTGCAAACAAGGAAGGGGATAATCCTTAAGGAGCAGTTCTCTGACCATTGGTGAAAATGTCCCAGAAAATTGCTAAATGGATATCACTTTGCCAGCAGTATCAAGGGTGTATGGATAATCTCCTAAAATGCACTCGGACCCCGGTTGACATCCTCTTGTGGTTGTTTCTTTCAGCTGATTGGAAAAGTGAGGCTTTGGACTGGGGTTGATTGGGAGATACAGGAACAACCTTAATATCACTCTGACTTGACATTTAATTTATAATATGGGCTGGATAACTTCTCTAAAATTGCAGATGAAACATTTTTGATTTTATTTCTACTCTTGTTTGTATTCCCCAAGTCATAATTCATCCCAGTTACTTACTTTTTTCTGTTCTGCCTTTCCCCTGATGTATTGGACACTGCCTTGTTGGCATGAAAGATTTTGCTAGACTGGAGGTTCTCACCTGGAGGGTGGGAGGTGGGGGTCGGTGGGTGAATTTTTCCTTCCTGGGGACCCTTGCCAACACCTGGAGTTTTAGATCCCATAACTGAGAGGTGCTACTGACATCTAGTGGATAGAAGCCAGAAATGCTACAAATATCCTGCAATGCTTATATGAGACAAGGAAGTGTCCTGGCCTCAAATGTGAATGCTGCATTCCCATGTTGAGAAACCCTGTACTAGACAATTAGGCCGAACCTTTTTAAAATAGGATCCTGTGTGATTTTTTTTTAAGTACAGAGATTTGTTTGGAGATAGCTCTTTGGGAGAGTATAACGGCAGTATTACAAGTCAGTGTTGGTTTCTATTCCCAGGCACTTTGTTTATACAAACATGGAGATATTCACCAAGGTTTCCAGTCACTTCTCCATGAAGTTAACAGAACCCGCACTCAGTACTTGCTTAGAACTGCCAACAGACTCTTTGGAGAAAAGACATGTGATTTCCTTCCAGTAAGTAGTACTCATATATTGATGAAAAAGAAACAGAAAATAAGTCAGACCACAGAAGAGCAGAGAATAAAGTACAACCATGCTGACTTAAAATATGCTTGAAATGGCTATGTGTGGTCACTCACGCCTGTAATCCCAGCACTTTGGGAGGCTGAGGCAGGCAGATCACCTGAGGTTAGGAGTTCAAGACCAGCCTGGCCAATATGGCAAAACCCCATCTCTACTAAAAGCACTCCAGCCTGGGTGAAAAGAGCGAGACTCCATTTCCAGGAAAAAATAAAGTGCTTGGAATTACACTTCTACAATTATGATTTTAGATTTTTTTTTGAGATGGAGTCTAGCTCTGTTGCCCAGGCTGGAGTGCAGTGGCACCATCTCAGCTTACTGCAATCTCTGCGTCCCAGATTCAAGCAATTCTCCTGCCTCAGCCTCCCGAGTAGCTGCAATTACAGGTGCCTGTCACCATGCCCGGCTAATTTTCATATTTCTAGTAGAGATGGGGTTTCACTGTGTTGGCCAGGCTGGTCTCGAAATCCTGACCTCATGATCTGCCCACTTGGCCCCCAAAGTGTTGGAATTACAGGCATGAGTCATGGTGCCCAGCCTATAATTTTAGATTTTATGATGGCTTCTGACTTACGTCCTTTGTAAATTGTTTTTGTTACACCTGTCCCTGTTATCAATGCCAATATGTCCATTCGTCTGCACCCAGCCCTGCTTCTTCCCCTTAATTACTTATCCCTGAGTGATGACATCATTCCCCACACTGAACAGAGCACCTCTGCAGCCCCACATCTGGCTATTGGGTTGCTTCCTGCTGAGACAGCCTCTCAGGTTCTCTTAAAGTTGCCTCCCTCTTCTGAATTGCATCTACAACTAACACAATCATCTTTCTAAAATGAAAATCTGTTCATAAAACTGAGGTTTTAAATCTAGGTAGTTTCTGTTTACTTTGGCATATGGTTCCAAGGTTTCCTAGTCCAGCCTGTCATAACATAATCAGTGAGGTCCCAAAATTATGCCACATAATATTCAGGGTGATGCTGTCATGTGAGGTGAATTATCTGGGTTTTAATATATTGGGTACAGGCCTTTTCTAATTGGACACCAACTTACATTTCAAGGCTCTTCTCCCGCCACTGTTTTCCTGAATTCCCTCCCTGATACACACAAGCACACATACACGTGTGCACATATGCACACATACATGCAATTCACATACATGCATGTGCACAAGCACTCAGATGTACACATGTGCACCCATGCACACGCATGTATGAATCCAGTTGCATACACACTATGATCCAGGCCTATCACACTCCATTCCCTTGGGGCCTTCCTTGCTCTGTATTCTTCCAATCAACCATATGACCCAGATCTAAAATGCTGTTTCCTTCTGTTCAACATCATTTCTTAACAATCTGGTTCCCTTATAAAGCCCCTCATTCAGCCAAAATCACAGTGCTGTAGTTGGTGCTGGTAATGCAAAATGAGTAAAAGCATGCTAGATTGCCTAATGAAGGAAACAATATTGAAGTCAGTGCAGAGTGTTTGACAGGGATGCTCTTGGGCTGCTCTGTGGAGAGTGGCTGCTCATGATGTCCTGTAAGTGTCTGGGTGTCTCATCTGCCTCTCATCAGGCTGTGGACCTCCTCAAGCCAAGCACCTTGCCCAGTACCAGGGAGGAACAGGTGACCCATACTTTTTTGTTAATTGCGTGCATGCACCTTAAAGTGCAGTGTGACCTGTCCAAACATTTATGGTAGAAACGCAGTAAGAGAAAACAAAATACTTTTGCATTTGTGGGAAGCTTTACCCAATGAGACCAAACTCAGTGTTCTGTGTTTGTAGGACTTTAAGGAATCCTGTCAGAAGTTCTATCAGGCAGAGCTGGAGGAGCTGTCCTTTGCTGAAGACACTGAAGAGTGCAGGAAACATATAAATGACTGGGTGGCGGAAAAGACTGAAGGTGAGAGAGTTTCATTTCTGTGGATCTAACTGCTATGCAGCGAGGCTGAGAGTGGCGGGGACGGGACCTCCAGTGTCGCCACTGTGACCTGCTTATCACAGGCCTGTTTGTGTATGTTGGCTGAGTTTGCAGGCCAACGGTGCAATTCTGTCATTTCTTATCAGATCACAAATTACTGATTTCTAAAACTAATGTTGAATGTCAGACCTCCTCCCCTATGGACCATGCTGGAAAATCCCTGGAAAATGGTTCCTCCTTGGAATCTTCTGTCTGAGAGGGCTTTCTGTGCTTAGAGGTGGAATGGCATTCAGTTAAGTTGCAGCCTAGAGAGGACAACATTTCGTACTATCATGTTATCTCTCCGTGGCAATGGAGACAGCTCAGTAGTTTGATCTGCAGCCTTCTCCCTCCTTTTTAACTACATTTGCTCTCAGAGTGTGGCCTTTTCTGAATTTGCTCCCAGTTCTAGAGGTGCAGCTAACACGGAGCCTGCAGTGTGCCCTGCCCAGACCACACTCCATCCCACCAGAAATATTTCTGCCAGTTCTTGACTTCAGTAAGAAAAGGGAGTGTACGGTGGGGGGACACATACTTTAAAGCATCCTAAATACCTAACAAGTAATTTCAATACTTGTAAACAGTGGAGGAATTAAGTCACTTATTTAAAGTGCCAACCTGGCAGTTATTACTGCATCCATTCCATCCCTATGGTACAACCGCTGTGTGTGTAGCAGAAGTAATACCCGTGATTCTACTGAAAGCCAATAAAATAATTACCATGGGAAGGGAAGAACCTTGGGTGTTTTCATACGTCATCTGTCCAGTGGTCTCTCCAGTTGTTACAGCAGTACTGACACCCGAGGAACCCAGAAGCTTCTCCACACCTTCCCCTTCGCTTCCCTGTACCTGTCACATCTCTTCCAGGGCTGCTTATGCCCTTCCTTCCCTTAGGCTGACTGCCCACATTTCCCCAAGAATATTAGAGCTGGAGGGGAGCTTGGAGATGACCTTGTTACCCTTTCATTGGACAACTCAACTTGGGCCCCTCTATTCCATGCCCCTAATTCCTTTGCCCCATTCACTCCTTTCAGAGGCTGCCTTTTCCCGTTGGCAGGTCTGTGTTCCCTCATCCTTTGGAAGCCTTTCTTTGTCTGATGAAGCTTGAATATATGCATAGAGCAATGATCCTCAACCAGAAGTGGTTTTGCCCTCCAGGTGCCATTGGATAATGGCTGAAGACAGTCTTCTTGTCAAATTGGAAGAAATTGTGCTGGCTGAACATCCCACAATGCACAAGACAGGTCCCATAACAAAGAATTATCTGGCTTAAAATGACAGTAGTGGTGAAGCTTAGAGATGATAGTGCCAAGGTTGACTGTCCCATAGACAGAATCCAGACTCAGGTGATGTTCTCAGTTCAGCCACTTGTTACCTGTGTGCACTAGGCAAAAAATCTGGCAAATGCTCTGATTCTGAATTTCTGCATCATAAATTGAAAGCAAAAGGATAGTTGCCCTACCTACTTCAAGATTTTTTTCTTAAGCATAAACAATACACTGTGTGTGACACACTGCTAAACACCATCACCCAATTCATCAGGTGGCAAGAAAGACAGAACTCCAGCCTGACTCTCCACCAAGCCTCTGCCTTATGTTTCAAAGAGATTTTTTAAAAATAATGTTTATTTCTCCCTGCCCCCAATTGCAATAACCTCTCATATTCTTTATAGGTAAGATTTCAGAGGTACTGGATGTTGGGACAGTTGGTCCCCTGACAAAGCTGGTCCTTGTGAATGCCATCTATTTCAAAGGAAAGTGGAATGAACAATTTGACAGAAAGTACACAAGGGGAATGCTCTTTAAAACCAGTAAGGTAGGGAAGGATTGTTTAGCTATACTGCTGCTTTCCTAAAGTAGTATCGCAGGAAATACTCTCTCAAAAAGTGAATAATTTATTTGAAATGATCTTAATTTTTAATCTATTCTATTCTATTATTTTATTTTATTTGAGACAGAGTCTTGTTTGGGCACCGAGGCTGGAGTGCAGTGGTGAAATCTCAGCTCACTGCAGCCTCAACCTCCTGGGCTCAAGTGATCCCCCAACCTTAGCCTCCGAAGTAGCTGGGACTACAGGTGCACACCACCAGGCCTGGCTAATTTTTGTATATTTTGTGGAGACAAGGTTTTGTCATATTGCCCAGGTTGGTCTCGAACTCCTGGTCTCAAGTGATACACCCACCTCATCTTCCCAAAGTCCTGGGATTACAGGCATGAGCCACCATGCCTGTCTTTTTTTTTTCTGAACAAATTCAATGCCTCTTGTATATCCTTAATAGCAGAAGGAGGAGAGAAACAAAAATAATTTTTCAATTGACAGTTTTGTTTTTCCATCTTTGATCAAATCTCCTTTCTATCTCTGGTCATATGATTTGGATTGGAGGAAAATTTCTAAGCCTTGGAATTATGTTTGCATGATGCTATTTACTGACTATATTTACTTAGACACTTTTTTGCAATATCAGTGGCAACTATGCCTATTTATTGCCTTAAAATTCAAAGTTATACAATCTTGAACACAAGAAAAAGATGTTAGCAGATGTAAAGCCTAACTTTAAAAACATCTTTCTGCATTCCCTTTTGAATATGAAAATGGCTGGTATCAATAGTTCTTAGCTTGGGATTTGACATCCGTCAACTTGATAATTGCATTTTGCACAAAGATATGAAAGTTAAGAATATATTTGATGCATGCTTTAAAAACAGCAGACTTTACACATCTCGTCAAGGTCCCCTTCCCAAGAAAATCAAGGCCATAAGACCAGTTCTACGACTGGGCAACTTTTCAGAGTTTGGACTATACATCTTTTCTAACCAGATCCTTCAGCCCAAGGGCCTGAACACTAGTTAATGCTCCTTGTAACTTAGATAAATGATTTTTAGTTAGAAACTTCCATGGGAAGGCTTCTCTATGAATGTTCTCTAAAAAGCAAACACAACGTCTACTAAGAATATTGTAGATTTTTATGTCCTTCTCCATTTACCAAACTATTTCTTTCTCACCTGGTAATATTTGATCTGCTGGAACCATAGCTTGTTCTATATTCAATACCAAGATGTACTAATGAAGATTTTACATCCATCAGCATAAATGTGCAGAGACAGTAATTATACACACCTAGAGTTTCTGTGAGTTAGACATATCCTGTTTTTAGTAAATTATGCCCATTTTTCAGTAATCTAATTTTAATTGCCTGTTTCTATTAGGAAAAAAAGACAGTGCAGATGATGTTTAAGGAAGCTAAATTTAAAATGGGGTATGTGGATGAGGTGCACACCCAGGTCCTGGAGCTGCCCTATATGGAAAAGGAGCTGAGCATGGTCATTCTGCTTCCCGATGACAACACAGACCTCACCGTGGTAAGCTCTGGGCAATGAGTCTGAGTTTCTATGGAATCCAGCTGAGCTCATTTCTTTACATCCGTCTATGACTGGCATTTGAGGAGTTTCCAATGGGGGTTATTACAAGTAGTGCTGCGTGAACATCATTGCATGTCTTTTGTTGAACATGTTCATGTATTTCTGTTGAGTGTATACGTATATGAGTGGACAAGTTTTGATGAAGCTAAGAAGAGAGAGTTCCAAATATATTATTATTTGGAGCATTATTCTTTATTGTGCATGGAAGGTCTATTTGACAGCCCAGTGATTATCACACAGAAGTCTTAGAAGAAGAGTAGGGATCAATCTGGGCAGTGATTCTCAAACATTAATGCAGCTATGATTCTAGTGATCTTGTTAAAGTGCAGATTTTGATTCAATAGAGTGTGGCCTGAGATCTTGCATTTATAGCAAGATGGCAAGTGATACAGATGCTTAGAACCGCACTATGAATAGCAAAGGTCTAAAGTACAGGTGGGAAATTTACCTTATACAAGAGGAGAGAAAAGTCTTACTATGACAGAAAAGGAACAGAGTCCAGGAAGGGGGAAAGTAAACTTGCAAGGTAGGAGGTGTAAGACCAATAGTTCACTAGTAACCCAGCTCTGGGAGGTGGGAGAAGCCTCCATTTGTAAAGTTTGCTGATTCTCATGACGTGGTAAATACTCCCACCATGGCTGACTTTAGGCTACCAAGGGTTTAACAATTGATACAAGCCAGTTCTGGCACACCAATGCAAAGGATGTTGAGGATGGGCTGCTTGATTTCTCTGGCTTCTTTTTGGAATCAGAAAGCTACTGCCCTAAGTCAGGGATGACATCTGCCATCCCTTATGAGAAGATTAGGAGAGTCAAAATCAAAACAATGCTCACTGGAGAGGAGCACTCACCTGGACTCCAGTTGGCAAAGGGAAGGGAAGAAGCAAGTGGAAGGCCCTTCTCCGTTTTTTCTTTCTACCTTATTGATAAATAGAATGAGTGATGGATTTGAAGAATTTGGAGCTAACTCAAGGACAGGCAGAGGATAGACAAGGACTCCAGATGAAGTCTTGTTAATTCCCCACTTCTCCCCTCGTGCTGCTTCCTTCTCATGCCTCCCTTCATCTTCAGATGAAACCCGATTCCCTCTCTTTTACTGTGAAAGAGTTGCCCTCTGATTTAACACTGAATAGCCCCTCCTTAGACTCGGAAGCAGAGTTCTAAGCCAAGCTTTTTGTCTTTTGTCAGTCTCTCCCACTCATAGTAATGTGTATTGCATGAAAATTGGTATAATGATTTGCTTAGAATGTTCTAAACTGTTAAAAATTATTTTTTTAACATTTGAAAGGAGTTAGGTACAAATTGTTTTTATTAAAAATTTCTGCCTGTCTCAGGTGTTTTACCAGCCCTTTTACCTTTGTCTCCGTAAGACTTGGAGAATACGAGAGTTTGGGAGAAAATCTTGGTGTGTTTATAAAAGAAAATATCTGTAGATTATCTTGGACCAGAACCTACCATCTGATTGCATGTCATTGGCGGAGGGGTAATAAGTGAATGTGTGGGTACCAGGCTATTGTCATCTAAATTTAAGGTTTGACTCTTTGTTATTCTAGGTGGAAAAAACACTTACATATGAGAAATTCAAAGCTTGGACAAATCCAGAAAAGTTGACAGAAAGTAAGGTTCAAGTTTTCCTTCCCAGGTTAAAGCTGGAGGAGAGTTATGACTTGGAGCCTTTCCTTCGAAGGTTAGGCATGATCGATGCTTTTGATGAAGCCAAGGCAGACTTTTCTGGAATGTCAACTAAGAAAAATGTGCCTGTGTCCAGGGTTGCCCACAAGTGCTTTGTGGAGGTCAACGAGGAAGGCACAGAGGCTGCCGCAGCCACGGCTGTGGTCAGGAATTCCAGGTGCAGCAGGACAGAGCCGAGATTCTGTGCAGACCACCCTTTCCTTTTCTTCATCACGCACCACAAAACCAGCTGCATCTTGTTCTGCGGCAGGTTCTCTTCTCCTTAAAGAGGTGCAATTGCTGTACAGTTGCCTTCTGCCTACCTTGCCTTAATTAACATTCCATGTGACCCAGTCGGTGCAGTGACTTCAATGCCAAAATAAAGCATGTGTCCCCGGATAGTGTGTGAATGTCTCTGCCGAAGGTTCCAGGGCCACTGAGAATCACTGAGGCCTTATATGCACGACACCTGGGGCTGTAAAGGCTATGCTGGTTATGGAGTGTTTGGAGGGCCTGCCGTTGCCTCTGCCTTCACCTAAGTCTGTGCCCATTGCTTCAGGTGATCTTAAGGAGCATCTCAAGGCTCCAGAAGCCAGCCGTCTTTGTGTGCTTCCATCTGCCCAGCTCTGCCCACCACCACTGCCAGGCTCAACAGGGGATACCAGTGCCCAGGCGACACTGCACACAAGGCCAAGGGCAAACCCTACAGAGTGAAGCGGCAGCCTCTCTGTGTCTCATGCGCAGGTGTCCACAGACAGCCCTGCATGCCCCCTGTTTCACACAGTCCCTAATGAAAACAGCTCCCTCTCATCATAAGTCTCAGATACAAGTGCAGGGACTCAGCATTGTGCTTCAGGACTGAGCTAGGAGACAAATCTCTGAAACCTGCTGGGCCGTCTTTGCCATTCCTTTTCCCTCTTAAACACACAAAATGCCACAGGAACTTACACACCACACCACTGAGTCCTCTCACCAATCATATATGCTCAGACACAGCTCAGACCTTTATTTAAAAAAGAGTATCCGTACATTAACTTTCTTCTAACTAAAAATAAAATTGTGTCATGGCAGCAATTTGGAAACTACAGCATTGTCCAAAAAAATTTAAGTCACCCACAGTTCCAACACACAGCAATCACTGCTGTTAATAGCAATATACATCATTCCCTATTATATGTATGCAAATAAAAATTTATAAGCATTTTAGTACAAGTTAATCATATCCTTCAGTAGCTTATTTCTCCCCTTACTTATGAAAAACCTCCCTTAAGATCTTTCCAGGACATCAATTTGATGTGCATAGTATTCCACCGTATGGCTGGATTTCTAGAATTGAATCTAATTTTAGACTCAATTTTGAGTAATTAAATTATTTCTATTAATAAATAATGGATTTATTAATATAACAAATATAAATAATAGATTATTAATAATAAATATAGGCCAGGTGCAGTGGTTCACATCTGTAATCCCAGCACTTTGGGAGGCTGAGGCGAGTGGATTACAAGGTCAGGAGATTGAGACCATCCTGGCCAACATGGTGAACCCCCATCTCTAGTAAAATACAAAACATTAGCTGGGTGTGGTGAGGCATGCCTGTAATTACAGCTACTCGGGAGGCTGAAGCAGGGGAATCGCTTGATCCTGGGAGGTGGAGATTGCAGTGAGCCGAGATCCTGCCACTGCACTCAAGCCTGGCAGCACAGTGAGACTCCCTCTAATAATAATAATAATAATAATAATAATAATATGTATTACACTATTTTGGATATACTAAATATTTGTTCACATCCTAAATATATTTTTTAAAATTCCTAAGAATAGTACTGTCAAGATAAAAGTTGAGCACATTTTGAGACTTCTTCCAAATTGGTCCCTAGAAAGTTACACTGATTTATACTCTCACTTATGTCACCATTTTTAACACCATTAACTGCTGTCTGCCTTATTACTTTTTTAATGAGTTGGACTAAACAGTGGTTACTCCTGACTCTGTTTTTGATTGACAGTTAGCAGTTACGTGAACCATTCATTTTTACAATTACAATTCCTACTTAAATTTGACCAAGCTAGAATATATTGTGTTAGGCCACATTCATTCCAGGGGTCATGTTTTCCAAAGCAGGTTTGGGCAAAAATTAATCCACAGGACTGAAAGGTATACATCTATGAGTTTTGTTCCCATTTCCACCTCTAATTTGAAAAATACTTTATACTTTTATGCCATACAATCAACACAGAATACAATTCACATGTTTAACCTGTACAATAAGTTCTGACATGTTTTCCATGAAACAAACCATCACTGTACTCAAGATAATGAACCCATCTGTCACACTCCCAAATTCCTTCTTGAATCTTTGTAAATTCCCTCTCTTCCTTCTCCCTCTCTCTGTCCTATCCCAACCACTACCCTGCTCAGGCAACTACCAGTCTTCCTTCTGTCACTATAATTTGCATTTTAAAAGAAATGTACATAGCCAGAACCACAAATAATCTATGCTTTGTAGTACGACTCCTAACACTCAGTACAATTATTTTGAGATTTGTTTATGTTGTTGTATATATCAATAGTTCATTCCTTTTATTGGTAAGTACCATTTCTTTGTATAGGTAAACCATGATTTATTTATCCATTTACCTGTTGATGAACATTTAGGTTGTTACCAAAATTTTGGCTATTGAAAATAAAGTTTTTATGAACATTTATGTATACATCTTTTATGGACGTATGTCTTCATTTCTTTTATATATGGATATATAGAAGTAGAATGGCTGGATCATATGGAAGGTGTAAGTTTAACTTTTTAAGGATCTGCCAAATTGCCTTCCCCAAGTGGTTGTATTATTTCACATTCCCAGTAGAGCCTAGGAAAGTTCTAGTTGTTCTGCCTCCTCACCAGTATTTGGTACTCCCAGCGTTGTTATTTTCAGTGTGCACTGGCATTTCCCTAATGCCTAATTATGTTCAGCATTTTAAAAAATGTGCTTATTTGCCATTCATATATTTTCTTTGATGAAATGATGAAATGTCTTATTGATATTTTATTGCTGCTTGCTTTCTTTTCTTTTTTTTTTTTGAGACAGCGTCTCCCTCTGTCACCCAGGCTGGAGTGCAGTGGCACAATTTTGGCTCACTGCAACCTCCGCCTCTTGGATTCAAGCAATTCTTATGCCTCAGCCTCCCAAGTAGCTGGGATTACAGGCACCTACCACCACGCCTGGTTAATTTTTGTGTTTTTAGTAGAGATAGGGTTTCACCATGTTGGCCAGGCTGGTTTTAACTCCTGACCTCAGGTGATCTGCCTGCCTCCGCCTCCCAAAGTACTGGGATCACAGGCATAAGCCACCGCACCTGGCCTTTGGTTTTCTAATTGTATTTTGAGAAATCTCATGTTATGATTTCCAAATCTTTTATCATATATGTGATTTGCAAACATTTTTCTCCCAGCTCATGGCTTCAGTTTTCATTTTTATAACAGTACCTTTAAAAAGCAGAAGTTCTTAATTTTGATGAAGTCCATTTTATCATTGTTTCTTTGTTTGTGCTTAACGCGTTTGCTGTCATTGAAGGAATGCTTTGCCTGACCCGAGGTCACAAGCATTTCCTGTGTTTCTTCTAGAAGTGTTACAGGATTTGATTTTCCTTTTTGGCCTATGATCAATTTTGAGTACATGTTTTGCATGTGATGAAGATGCTAGCCATCTTTCACTGAATTGCCTTTGCATCTTTGTCAAAAATCGGTTGATCACGGAGGTGTGGTTCTATTTATGGATCCTGTTGGTTTCCATTGATCTGTCTATCTTGATGTCAGTTCCACATTGACTGAATTACTGTGGCTTTATAAGTTTTGAAAACACTTAAGTGACATAAGTCTTCCAACTTTATTTTTCAAAGTTGTTTTATTTGCTTTCAGTCCTCTATCTTTCCCTGTGAATTTTATGATTTGCTTGTTCACTTTTGCAAAGGTCTACTGCAATTTTCATTAGAATTGTGTGAACTCTAGACACCAGTTTGGAGAGAACAGACAGATTGAGTCTTCCAACCCATGAACCAGGCATGTTTCTCAATTTTGGGGGTTTTTATTAATTTATCTCAGCAACATTTTTGTAGTTTTTAGTATATAAGTCTGACACAATTTTGGTCAGATTTATCCCTAAGTTATCCTATTTTGTGCTATTTTAAATGATATTTCATTTTAATTTCAATTTCTGATTATTTGTCCCTAGTATACGGAAATATAATACAGGTTTTTGTTGTTGTTGTTGTTGTTTGTTTGTTTTTGTATCTCAACCTGATAGCTTGCAAACTTGCTAAAATAACTTAGTTCTAATAGCTGTGTTTCTAGTTTCATGTCTGCTAATAAAGACAAATTTTCTTCTTTCTTTCCCATTTAGATAACCTTTTTCTTTCCATGCCTTACTGTAGTGACTTGATTAGAAGTAGTGAAAACAGACATCCTTGTCCTGTTCTTGATCTTAGAGGAAAGCATGAAGGCTCCCATCACAAAACGTGGTATGAGCTATAGGCTTTTCATAGGTGTCCTTTAACAGGTGAAGAAGGTTTCTTTTATTCTTAGTTGTGTTTATAACAGGAATAGATGTTGGATTCTGTCAAATGCCTTTTTTGTATCTTTTAGATGATCATGTGTTTTTAATGTTGGGATTAATTTTTGCATGTTGAAACAATTTTGCATTACTTGGTGATGTAGTTCACATTTTGTCTAGTATTGGATGCAATTTGTTAAAATATTTTTAAAATCGCTCATCTCTGTTCATGAGAGACATTAGTTTGTAGTCTTCTTATTATGTAATAGCTTTGTCTCATTTTGGTTTTAGATTATTCTGATCTCAAAGAATGAGCTGAGAAACATACCTGCCTTTGCAGTTTTCTGGAATAGATATTGTATAATTGGTATTATTTCATCCTTTAATGTTTGGTGAAGCCATCTGAGACTGGAGTGGCTTTATAGTACAACACTAATTTCAGTAATAGATAGTGGAGTATTCAAATTACATATTTCTTCTTGAGTTAGCTTTGATAACTGGTGATTTACAAGGAATTTGTTCATTATCTAGTCATAAAATTTAGTGGTGTAAAGTGGTTTATAGTTTCTTATTTTTCTTTTAATAGCTATGAAATCTGTAGTGATACCATCTCTCTCATTCCCGATATTAGTAGCCTGTGCCTTTTTTTTTCTTTTATGATTGCTATGACTAGATGTTGATAAATTTTATTGCTCTTTCTCAGAACCAGCTTTTGATTTCATTGATTTTCACTATTGTTTTTCTGTCTGCAACATTGATTTCTCTTCCGATCTTTATTATTTCCTTTCTCTGATTACTTTAGGTTTAATATTTTCACCTTTAGAGTTTTTTAAAAGTTTTTTTTAAGGTGA